TGGGAAAACTAATTGAGGTGGTATGTACTATGTACTTGTTTTTGTTGCGTGTATCATGGTTGTGGACATCCGTGAATTGTTCTAGTTCATGTATATTTTTGGAAGATAATAAGGGAAAGACAGAGTATTTTCAGTCTGTAAAAATGACTCCTACAGGATTCGATCCGTTTTATCCCACAAATGGCCCTGAGAGCTATTTTTTGTATTACAAATGTGCTGTTGACATCTACTGAATGTCCCCAAAACTCTATACCATATTGTACTAAGCCGTAGAAATAAGCGTAATATACTGTTATTGTTTTTTCTATATCGATATTTTTTCTTATGGTAAATATTGCGAAAGTAGCACTGCAGAGCTTTTTATTTAGGTTATGAATATGATTCTTCCAATCCAACTTTTCGTCTATGTGAATTCCGAGAAATTTTTTGGGGGTTAATCATTAAATTGAATGAATTTATTTCGATAACACCCTGCATAGAAGACATTTTTGACGAAAGTATGTTCGACTACCTACTTGTGGTAGTCGTGGAACACCCTGTGTAAAAAGACACCGATTATTTGACAGCGTTCTCAGTAAATGTGGGCCAACCAAATAATGCATCTCGTGTTGCCGATCGATCCAGAGCGATGCGGATACGACGATTGCCAAATTTGGGCGGCACTTGTTAAACATTCATGAGGCAGGTATTTTTATATTATTTTTCGAAACCGAACACCAATTTGTCTCCGTTTGAGAAATTGCAATCGCGAACCCGTTATGTGAAATTTCGTCTTGTGAGAGGCATACGAAGAAGATTAGACTGGACGTACCAAAGAATGGTACTTACACGGTGGTCCATTACGAATCGTCATTATAATAGTTATTTTTTGTATCTAGGGCGCGAAATGCTACTTTGGTGATCGAGAATTGAATTTTTTTCAACGAGGCGCACTTTGTTGAGATGGGATGATCGGAATAGCTGACTCTCAATCATTCATGGAAATTTCAGGAAAACAAAAACGTTGCATACGACCTTGATCAAACTCTGTTTCAACATTCGGAATGAGGTCAGATATATTAGACGCAAACGAAAGAATAACTGGCACTTTACTGAGATGGAATGATATTGGTAACGCAGGAGGAAATGATGAGAAAATCAGAATAGCTGACTCTCAACCATTCATGAATATTTCAAAAAAAAGTTGCACACGACCTTGATCAAATTCTGTATCAGCATTCGAAATGAAAGAATAACTGCCACTTTTCTCAGATCCTCAGATGGAATGATTGGAAATTCAGGAGGAAATTATGAGAAAATCAGAATAGCTGACTCTCAACCATTCATGAATATTTCAGAAAAAAAAAGTTGCATACGAACTTCATTTTAACTCTGTTTCGAACTTCACAAACGATAAGATTTCCACAAAATTCTCAAACACACGACATGTTTCAATAACACAGTCGCTTCGTCAGGTGATATACTCTGGTACGATGAACTACACTAACCTTGGCTTGCTTATATATCCTTTTTTTTATCGCTTGAAGCGCACGAAAGGGAATCCCTATAATGTTCAAAGAACATCGTGCGTTCCTAGGGAGGATAGGGACAGGAGGTAGGTATTGGATTTTTTTTTGAACTTCTGGAGATTATATGTTGTTGGGAATACTTCCACAGGAAATGAATTCCAGAGCCTAGCCGTTCTATGGATGAAGGAGTTTTGATAAAGTGCTGTTCGACATCTTTCGAGGTTGACAACGAAAGGATGTGCTGACTGGGCTTGTCTAGTTCGTCCGACTGGTATTGCTAGTGAAGGGATGATGGCAGAGATTTCCGAAGAACATTTCCCGTGGAAGTATCGATAGAAAAGTGAAAGGTCGCCGACCTTTCTACGGTGTTCCAATGATGTCAAAGAGTGAGTGAGTGTGGCGTCACCCACCAGGCGGATGGCTCTTCTCTGGATGGAATTTAAGAGCATCAGCGTATGTTTTGGTGCTGAACCCCATATGTGGGAACAGTATTCTAGAACAGGCCGTATCTGCGCTTTGTAGATCATGAGGAGCTGTTGAGGTGTACTTTCCCAACCTGAATTAAAGTAAAGTAAAATGTCAAAATTTTTTATTCTGTTGATTTCTAATGATTCAAAATGATTGAGTTTCATTCCTTTCTTTTCTACGTGTAGAATTTCGAAATTATCATCAAAACTATGGTTTTATTTTAATATATGGTTGGCGTATGTTGAATTTGTTTTCTTTTTCAAAAAAAATCATCTCATGTTCATGAATGCGCTGATTAAACGCACGACCTGTCTGGCCGATATATACCTTAGGACAAGATCCACAGTTGAGTGTGTATACCCCTGATTTTTCGAATTTAGAAGTTTTGTCTTTATTATTCTTGATAAACCGTCCCAACGTGTTATTTGTTCTATATGCCACTTTTAAGTCCTGTTTATGTAGAAATGAAGCTAATTTCTCAGTTGATGATCCGAAATAGGTTACAGTTCTATAATTCTGATTATTATTCTTGATGGTAGGATAAACTTCTTAAATGGCTTTATTATGAAGTTTTTTAGAAATAATACTGTCTATGAAATTAAAGTTGTATCCGTTGTTGACTGCAATCTGTTCTATTATATTGAGTTCTTTATTGAAATTTACCCCCGGAAGAGGGACATTCACTAGCCTGTGTATCATATACAGGGTGTCCGCTAAAAGGAGGTCAATCCATTAACCATATATTCCTTGAACAAAAACAATGTGACTTTCTGATTACGATTTTTCATTTTAGCCCTTCATATTCGATATAAAGGGTGTCAAAGTTGGAAATTAAAAACTGTTTTCGTATCTAATAAGATATTAATCTCAAAATTGCTGAATGACTTCAGCACAGAGAGTTACATCGTGTGAGGAAAACAAAACAGAAAATAACTGTTAAATATTCAAAATACTGGTGGTCAAATACACACTTACCCCCATATTTTTTTTGTACGAACGATAATGACTTCTTTTCTATTTTTCTTCAAGTGTTCAATCATTTTTGAGTATTATTTTACTCTTGTAAAATTTCGATACAATTATTATTTGTTTTTAAGATAATTCGAAAAGTACTGGTTATTGTTTCATGCCTATGCGGCTTATGGTAATCTTATATTGAATTTCTATCATTTTTTTTTTGTAAAAATTATTTTAATACATTCGCTCTGAGTACCCAGTATTTCCATATTGACCTTTTCGCACGTAAAAAATTACGCCCTCTTCCAATTTCGACGAAGTAAATAGGAGTATGTGAACATTATAAGATTACCGAAAGCCGCATAGGCAACAAACAATAACCAGTACTTTTCGAATTATCTTAAAAACAAATAATTTTATCAAAATTTCACAAGAGACAAAAAATACTCAAAATTGGTTGAAGACTTGAAGAAAAAGAGAAAAGAAGTCATTAGCGTACGTACAAAAAAATATGGGGGTAAGTGTGTATTTGACCCCCAGAATCTTGAATATTTGACAGTTATTTTCTTGTTTTGTTTTCCTCACACGATGTAACTCTTTGTGCTGAAGTAATTTACCAATTTTGATATTAATATCTTATTTAATACGCGAGTAATTTGAAAAAAAACTTTGACACCCTGTATATCGAATATGAAGGGCTAAAATGAAAAATGGCATTCAGAAACTCATATTGTTTTTGTTCAAGGAATATATGGTTAATGGATTGACCTCCTTTTAGAGGACACCCTGTATATGATAAGGGTGTGTTGAATTACTATGGATATCAGTTGGGAAGGTTTATGGGAAATTGAAAAATCATGCATATCATTGATTTTACTTATTGTCAAATCTAAGAAATTGATTGAATTTTTTGTTTCTATTTCTATTGTGAATTTGAATTTTATGTTTGGTTGAATAGAATTTATATATTGGTGAAGTGTCTAATTGTCTATTGGTTCCTTTAAAGCATACTATAACGGCGTCTACGTATCTATACGGAGTTATCCATGAAAATTTCAGCATATACAGGGTGATTCACATAACAACCGACATAGAGCAGGGGCATGTAGGGGGTCCCAAAATATGGCAATTTAACGCAACTTACCTCTATACCAAATTGCTTTCCTAAGGTATAACTCTTGAATTTTCGATGATTTTAAAAAACACACCTAGAGCGCGCGTTTTCAGTTATTCGAGTTTTTGATGAAAATGATGAGGTTTTTCGAAAAATTACTGGAGTAAGAAAAGTTTTAGAATTGAATTGCCCACAAAACAAAGCGAAGATTTTTGAAATCCATCGAGGGTTAACAAAATTCTGTTGATTATTAATGGTGTGCAACCTGGTATACCCCCTTTCCAAATTTCAATTGAACTCTAGTTACTGTCAAGTAACGCCTCAAATACATCCACAAGGTGTACCAAATTCGGTTGCTTTAAGTTTAAGAATAACGGAGATATCGATTTTTTTCAAAATTTATAACTTCACTTTCAAAGCCTATAACTCCTTAGGGAAACAACTTGGTATAGAGGTAAGTTTCGTTAGATTGACATATTTTGAGACCCCCTACATGCCCCTGCTCTATGTCGGTTCTTATGTGAATCACCCTGTATAAGCAAGCCAAAGTTAGTGTAGTTCATCGTACCAGTATATCACCTGACGAAGCTACTGTGTTAGCGAAACATATCGTGTGTTCGAATTTTGTGGAAATCCTATCGTTTGTGAGGTTTTTTCATACGTCATGGATTTCCATCATAACCTCCAGCCCAAACTTCAGTACCACCACTGCCATCTCATAATCGATGAAACCCATTGCATCATAAAGCGCACGCGCATACGCTAAAGGTAGCGTTACGAATAGAAGGCTAGGCTTAGGCTGGTTCCATAGTAAACAAACGAATCGTGCAAAACGTCATAGGAATTTTAATAAGCTTGCCGCTTAACCCGTCTGCCCGTCTGGCAACAACAAGTTCACCGATTCGTCTCAATTTTGGTCAGTCAGTGCAAGGTGCGGATCTGTTTATCGAAATATGACGTGGGGATTTGTTACTTGTGGTCCAAATGAAGCGCTAGTCATCTCAGGTGAGAGATTCCGACATGATCATAACCTCAAACCTTAGCATTATGAACGAGATTATAAATTATGCAAACACTTAGCGTAAGGCGTATAAGAATTTGTTGATGATATTAGGGCGTTTCATGACTGTGAAGTTAAGAGCTTAGATAGCATAAGAATGTGCTGTTCAGATAGCTACGTTATAGGGAAGAGTCACAGTCATATAGCCATTTGTCAATTTGGTGGCGCCAGAGCAGAGGCGGGTATTAGGTCAAATGGGAATTTATAAATTCAACTCAACTAATGGTCTATCCATAGAAATTATTTGATATAAACTCAATTCGCTATAAAAAATAAGCGTGCGCTACCCATCGGAGTTTTTAAAAGCTGTCAGAGCGGTCTGCTTACTTTGTTTTTATTGGTTCTAAATTGGTTCACTTTTCTTCCTTGTTTACACCTGTTCGTTTGTGTTTACTCTACCGGGCAAAATTGATTTTTTTTCTATGACATTCTCTGCTGTTTACTTCACCCTCGGGTCAATCCTTCAGAACAAATCGCTCAGAAAAGTTCAAATTGTTGCCGTCAGGTGGAGCGACGTGATATTCTCTATCACAAATAGCTTTACTTCCATTTTCATAAGTAATTCGCTGCGGCTAGAGAAATGTTGATGTTGATGTACCTGTTATTTATTTCTTTCAGACATGTACATGACGACACTCCTCACCGGAAGATGTATTATTTTAATCAATTGAATATGAAACATTTTTTGATATAGAACAAAATTCGAGATGTAATTTCATTCCATGACAGTTTCCTCTTTTGACGTACCTATGCACATAGAAATATCGAATATGAGGAAGGAAAATATCCTTGCATAACCGCATAACCATAGAAGCATAACCATAAAAAAGGAGACTACTCTTGCCAAACAAATGCTAACCTGAGTCGGCCTAAACGAACTTTCTTCATAGAAATTATATTTCTCGAAAAATTACTTCAGAACAATTAAAAATTAAAAAAAGTTGACCCTGCCGGGGATAGAACCCGGGTCGCCAGAGTGGCAGTCCCATACACAGTTCGCTATTGCAATTCTATGATCATACCATGAGAATTAAAATTAGTTGTTAGGACGATAAATGTTCATCCCTAAGAATAAAAAACTGAATGAAGATGGCCTTCTTTCATCCTTTCGAATAAAAATCAATAATATGACGATTAAAAAAAACTGGGATACATAAGCATTGGATATTTTTTGTGACAGTTGCCAATCAAATATCTGTGTTTACAAAAATATATCAAGATAATTATTCTGAACCAAGTGATGAAGAACAACTTTTTGAATACACCAGAGGATGTGAATTTTTGTTAAAAAAACATCAACATTGACAATACTTCTGCACTGAACATCAATAACAAATTTAAAGTCAAAGTACGAAACACTCAATTTTTGAGTTGACTTTTATAAACACTTTCTTACTCACTTTGAATTTTTCATTATCTAATTTAGTTTATACACCCTCTGCGAACTTTGCAAACGCAAAATTAGTGCTATTCACCAATATTAATTCGATGGTCGCCGATATAGCAATATACAAGGTGTCCTAAAATAACTACTATGAAATCGTGATCTCATGCTCGAAATAGGACGATTTACATAATATATTATGATATTATATCCCTCAATTTTCTTGGTTATTTAGAAATATCACAGAAAAACACAATACGTCTAATTTTTATAGAAATAAGCCAACTAGTATAATTATATGGTATAATAGTTCAAATGTCCACCAACTTTTACTACAATGATGCGTCGCTCCTCTGAACAGTCAATTTGAGATGGAACAAATTATCTATAACATAAAGTTATTTTTAGACTTCAATTAAGTTAACATATTTCGTTTGATATGGAATCATGTTGTGATCCAACGGTTATCGCCAAGGCCATAATAAAGACAGGACTCAATGTTATCATTGTATATCGTATTAGTCGTCCAAATTCTGCTGAAAAACAATCATCATTATTTTATTGTGCTTTATATACCTATAAAGTACATGAAGTAATTTTTGCACTGTACCACAAAACATGATAAAACTATGAAAAAACAGATCTCGAATAACCTTCAAACCTAACGATCTCAGAATTCTCAGACACAAATACCCCATAAAACCTCTTCAGACATCGGAATGAAAATCAGTTATGGTTAGAAAAATATTTACTATTTCGTATGCTCAGAGGTACCCATGGGTACCCTATCCTAAATCATCTTAGGTCTAAGGTTAGGTGACCATCAGTAAGTTTCCAGGAAAAAAATATCCTGAGCGGAGATTACTCAATTCCGAGGGGTAAATCACGGCGGAAAAAAATTGTACATCAAACTTCCCATGGGTCAAAACTTCCCAAACTTCCTCGAACTACCTCAAACTTCCCCGAGCTTCCTCAAACTTCCCCGAATTTCCTCAAACTTCCTCGAACTACCCAAACTTCCTCGAACTTCCCAAACTTCCTCGAACTTCCTCAAACTTCCCCGAGCTTCCTCAAACTTCCCCGAATTTCCTCAAACTTCCTCGAACTACCCAAACTTCCTCGAACTTCCCAAACTTCCTCGAACTTCCCCGAACTTACTCAAACTTCCCCGAACTTCCTATACTTTCTCGAACTTCCTAAACTTCCTTGAACTTCTCAAACTTCCTCTAACTTCCCAAACTTCATCGATCTTCCTAAACTTCTCGAAACGTTTCAGACTTCACAAACCAAGTATGGGTGGGTGGTGAAGGAAAAAAATCACCAATTTTTTTGAGATTTCTGCGTATAATAGTTCTGTTGTATTTTTTCAATGCGTTACAACGCTTTCGAATTGAACTGGATTAACAATATGAGAAATCAGATTTTGAACTACAAATTGAGAAAGAAATTCACAAATAAAAATTAGAAAGTTACCTGAATATTTTTTGCAACGTTCGTAGTTGGATTGCAACATATAAGTTTTGTTTCCAAATAGAAGTTTCCTCAGTAGAGTTCATCCACATCCCCACATTACGTGGGTTATAATAAAGACTTGGAATGCCAAACACTGTGCTGATCGGACCTAAAACTAAGTATCAATTTGAAATTCGAATCGTGAGACGAACATGGAATGAAGAGTCTGCATATCGTTTTCAACATTCGTAACTGGAATGCGATATATTTTCGTAATTTATGAATTAATCAACTATCTCAATGAATACGAGGCAGGCAGATAAGCAACAATTTTCTCTGCGATGAAAAACACTGTATATACCTAACCCATCTAGCGTCTACCTCCTTTGCAGAGAGGGTTTATGAACGCAAAGTTGGTACTCTCCCCTCGTAAGGGTACCTGTCGTGTTCCATAGAGACATAAAGGTGAATATCTGTCTATCTGTTTGCTTGAGAATCTGAAAAAAAATCAATATATCGCCTTCCGTACGAACATGGTGATCTGAATTTGGAGAAGTATACTCTGGTCATTTTTCTTTGTGGATCGGTTCTTAGGTTCGGCTTGATTGGATGGTTTTCTCGGATTTTGTGTCAAGTATCAAACACTGTGCTTCTCGGATCTGCAACTTAACATTACATATCAAATATCGAATCATATGGATAAAAAATGATTATTATATGATGCGGTTCATGAATGTTGAATTAGAAACTTACCTGAATACTTTTTGCAACGTTCGTAGTTGGATTGCAACATATAAGTTTTGTTTCCGATTAGAAGTTTTCTCAGTAGAGTTCATCCACATTTCCACATTACATGGGTTATAATCAAGACCTCGAATGCCAAACACTGTGCTGCTCGGATCTAAAACTAAATATCAATTTGAAATTTGAATCGTGAGACGATCATGGAATGAAGAGTTGGCATATCGTTTTCAACATTCGTAACTGGAATGCGATATATTTTCGTAATTTATGAATTAATCAACTATCTCAATGAATACGAGACAGGCAGATAAGCAACAATTTTCTCTGCGATGAAAAACACTGAATATACCTAACCCATCTAGCGTCTACCTCCTTTGCAGAGAGGGTTTATGAACGCAAAGTTGGTACTCTCCCCTCGTAAGGGTACCTGTCGTGTTTCCATAGAGACATAAAGGTGAATATCTGTCTATCTGTTTGCTTGAGAATCTGGAAAAGAAATCAATATATCGCCTTCCGTACGAACATGGTGATCTGAATTTAGAGAAGTATACTCTGGTTATTTTTTTTGTGAATCGTTTCTTCGATTGGGCTTGACTGGATGGTTTTCTCGGATTTTGTGTCAAATATCATACACTGTGCTTCTCAGATCTGCAACTAAACATCACATATCAAATATCGAATCATATGTATCAAAAATGATTATTATTGGATGCGGTTCATGGATGTTGAATCAGGACTTACCTGAATACTTTTTGCAACGTTCGTAGTTGGATTGCAACATATAAGTTTTGTTTCCAAATAGAAGTTTCCTCAGTAGAGTTACCCACATTACATGGGTTATAATCAAGACCTCGAATGCCAAACACTGTGCTGCTCGGATCTAAAACTAAGTATTAATTTGAAATTCGAATCGTAAGACGAACATGGAATGAAGAGTCTGCATATCGTTTTCAACATTCGTAACTGGAATGCGATATATTTTTGTAATTTATCAATTAATCAACTATCTCAATGAAGACGAGGCAGGCAGATAAACAACAATTTTCTCTGCGATGAAAAACACTGTATATACCTAACCCATCTAGCGTCTACCTCCTTTGCAGAGAGGGTTTATGAACGCAAAGTTGGTACTCTCCCCTCGTAAGGGTACCTGTCGTGTTTCCATAGAGACATAAAGGTGAATATCTGTCTATCTGTTTGCTTGAGAATCAAAGAAATCAATATATCGCCTTCCGTACGAACATGGTGATCTGAATTTAAAGAAGTATACTCTGGTTATTTTTCTTTGTGGATCGTTCCTCTGGTTCGGCTTGACTGGATGGCTTTCTCGGATTTTGTGTCAAGTATCAAACACTGTGCTTCTCGGATCTGCAACTCAACATTACATATCAAATATCGAATCATATGGATAAAAAATGTTTATTATATGATGCGGTTCATGAATGTTGAATTAGAAAATTACCTGAATATTTTTTGCAACGTTCGTAGTTGGATTGCAACATATAAGTTTTGTTTCCGATTAGAAGTTTTCTCAGTAGAGTTCATCCACATCTCCACATTACGTGGGTTATAATCAAGACCTGGAATGCCAAACACTGTGCTGCTCGGACCTAAAACTAAGTATCAATTTGAAATTCGAATCGTGAGACGAACATGGAATGAAGAGTCTGCATATCGTTTTCAACATTCGTAACTGGAATGCGATATATTTTTGTATTTATCAATTAATCAACTATCTCAATTAAGACGAGGCAGGCAGATAAACAACAATTTTCTCTGCGATGAAAAACACTGTATATACCTAACCTATCTAGCGTCTACCTCCTTTGCAGAGAGGGTTTATGAACGCAAAGTTGGCACTCTCCCCTCGTAAGGGTACCTGTCATGTTTCCATAGAGACATAAAGGTGAATATCTGTCTATCTGTTTGCTTGAGAATCTGGAAAAGAAATCAATATATCGCCTTCCGTACGAACATGGTGATCTGAATTTAAAGAAGTATACTCTGGTTATTTTTCTTTGTGGATCGTTCCTCTGGTTCGGCTTGACTGGATGGCTTTCTCGGATTTTGTTTCAAGTATCAAAACACTGTGCTTCTCGGATCTGCAACTAAACATCACATATCCAATATCGAATCATTTGAATCAAGAATGATTATTATTAGATGCTGTACATGGATGTTGAATTAGAAACTCACCTGAATATTTTTGTAACGTTCGTAGTTGGATTGCAACATATAAGTTTGGTTTCAGAATAGATGTTTTCTCAGTACAGTTCCTTATGACTCACCCTGTATATCTATCGGTAAACAAAATCCCTTCCGGCCATCAGATTTTTCAATGTAATAATTGAAAACGAACACCGTTCTAACGAAGCAATTAACCGACCTGATACGGGGATGCAATCCATCTAGTTTCGCATACCCCAATTACCGGGGAGACCGATCCGACGATCAGACAGCGTGTGGGATCGGTTCTGCCTCGCTCTCTTATTGCCTTTTTATTCTAATGTCGATATTGTTGTTTGTTGCAGGATGTTGTTACAGCAAGCCGCTGCTGGTGCCCGGAGGCAGAGCTTTCATTTGGCCCTGTGTTCAGATGATCCAGAGGTTGGTGCGCACACAAAACTAGAGAAATACCTATAGTATAGAGTGCCTCGAACATCTCATTTTACGCTCTTCAAAGTGTGGACACACTTGTCATATTGTTGAGCAGCTGAACAAAAACCATGAGAAAATAGTAATTCACGTAACAAGTCCGGAAAATACTGTTTTGTTGGACGAGTAGACAAAATTCTAGGCCGATTCGTAGGCGAGTCCTGGAAGTCTGCGAGTCCAAAACAACTGTTTTTGGACGTATAGAAAAAATATCAAATTTTCACTTAGCTTTGGACGTTTCGGGAACGAATCTGCTCCCGTTATCAACATAAAAAATGGATATTTGTATAGCAAATTCGTATTCGTCTTGACACTTCTCAGTTTTCAGTGACAATTGGTGACGTTGACAATCAATAAGTGTATATCGTAAAAAGACCCATACTAACAGATACCTGAACTTTCAATCAAATCAATATCATCTGACCAACAAATTTTCAATAACGAAGTCCACCACATTAAAAATGTTCTCCAACTCAATTCTTATCCAAAGAATTTTGTGTATAAGACGATTCATCAAATTGAAAACAAACAAGGTCCACCACAATAAAATCAACCATCAATAACGACAAATATAATACCATACATTCCCGGCATATCTGAAAAAATTCCAGATTCCTTGATTTTTCTCTTCTGGCTGTTATAGGCATGTATATTGAAATAAAAAAATCTGGAATAATGTACGAAACTGTAATTTTGGGGAATTTCTATTATCATCAGTTCCACCAACCTTGAATTTTGGTTGAGATTTCGCCAACTAACGGGTAAAATGCGACTTATATTCCGCGGTATTGAAAAGAATCCATCTGTCGAAGGCTTTCGACTGTGTGGATCACAGAGTACTGCTGAGAAAGTTGTATCATTATGGATTCAAAGGGGTTCCTTTGGAGTGGTTTGAATCATATTTACTTGGCAGAAAACAAATTGTCAAGATATCTAATGAATGCTCAAGTCGGTCAAATATCAAATCAGGGGTTCCTCAGGGTTCAGTGCTGGGCCCGATTTTATTTTTATTGTATCTAAATGATCTAGCTTACTTGAACATAACAGGAAAATTCACACTATTTGCAGACGACACCACTCTTATATGGCATGGGAAAAATATAGATACGCTCAAAGAAGTAATTTCACACGACTTAAACATGGTCAAATCTTGGTGCAATTCAAACTCTCTCTGCTTCAACACCAACAAAACGAATATTATAACTTTCAAGTTCGAATTTGACAATCTCACGCTTGGTTCACATCGCGTTGAAAACAAATCGAGTACTAAATTCTTGGGTTTGCACATTGACAACAAATTGAGATTTGATGAACATATTTTGTCACTTAGAAAAAAGCTAGCGTCAGGTTGCTATGCTGTCAGAATTGTGTCAAATGAGCTTGGTTCTGATATTGCTAGAAATACTTATTTTTCCCTCATAGAATCTCATATTAGATATGGTATAGTATTCTGGGGCTTTTGTTGCCAACATTTACTGTCCACGGTATTTGTTCTACAGAAAAGAGCAGTGAGATACCTTTGTAAAGCAAGATCTAGTGACCATTGCAGACCTCTTTTCATTAATTCTAAAATTTTGACACTTACGTGCCTATTTATATTGGAAACTGTTTGTTTGATGCACAAAAATCAGCCTCTGATGAGTGGAATCTCTCGTGATATAAATGTACATACAAGGAATAAAAATAATATTAAACTACCAATACCAAAGACAACGCTCACCAAAAATTCTGTGATTTATGAAAGCAGAAAAATTTATAATCATCTGCCGCAGCATTTAAAAGCATTCGAAAGTTTGAAAAAATTCAGAAAAAGTGTTGCGGATTTTCTCTTACCAAGAGCATATTATGACCTGCAGGAATATTACGATGAAAGATTCTAGGTTGCAACTATGTTATTCTGATATATATGTTGATACTACTCATTTCATGTAGGTATTTCAGCAAGATTATTATGATGTAACTTTTTTTTATTCGTGTGTGTTGAATTTACATTATGTACCTATTTGTATTTTACCGTACCTATGTTTTACAATGTTAAATTTATTTATTTTTATTTATACATATTATACATAATATTATATAACTTCGTATTGGACACAGTGGAAATCCACTACAATAATTGTAAACCATGCTTTGTCAATAAGGATTATTATTCTTGGACAATAAAGCACAGTATTGATTGATTGATTGATTGTCAAGAAGGCCGTAGGTCAAGAACTTTGACCGAAAAACAGTAAGATGGGATTTGATAGGAGTTTCTACACCATCTTCTGTTCATCCTGGTCATCGACAAATATATCCATCTCATCTCTCGTCTTTCTTCAATTCAAAGCTAGCGAACTGACGCATTTCCCCAACAATCATATATGATTTAATTCAATCAGATTGCTGTTGCATAAATCCCGTGTAATTAGCTAGATATCTTTCCTACGCACAGACTGGCAATACCTTCTGAGGTCATTATCGTTGACTTTGTAATTATTTTATTATTATTTCTTAATTATCATTCATTAATCCGCCCCATAAAACGTTTACCGCATCTATGCCGCATCATTTCGCTAAAATAAGTTGGTAGTTAAGTTCGGCATGCATCGATTAGCGTTTTACACGCACACATTAATATCAGTTTTATCTATGATTTACTACAATATATTTTTACAACATTACAATGTGAAGCGAACGAGAATTATTTATTTATCGCAATGAGAAAAGGGCGCGGTGTCGATTACGATATTATTATGAAATCGAGAAATCGTCCGGAATCCCATGAGATATTTCTTAGGAATGTATTTTTTTTTTAAATTACATCACGTCGTTCAATTCTCAAGACATTTGCGCAAAAACTGTTCATGTATACATTTCATAGAAATACCTCTAAGAATTCATTATAATTAGGAAAACGAAGATGGCGGGCTTGATAATCATCAATTATTGTTTTTGTTGATATGAAACAATACAGTGCACGTATTCAATGTTAGCTGACTCAAGCATCAAAATATATTCAAATATTTGTGTAAACCCATTTTGAGACATTATTGAAATAGCATTGCTCCCTAGGTCCCATGAAAACAGTTCTAAACTTGTTCAAAATCTGTACAAGCTTGTCCTAAGTCGTTCAGATCCGTATGTCTTGTTCAGATCAATTTGAAAGCTGTTCAAAACCTGTTTAAACGCCGATTGAATCTGTGAAACAGCTCGATGAGGGATGAGGTTGGGAAAGCTTTCGAACAGATTTGATTTGCGAAAATTCTTAGCAATAGTCTCTAAAACGGCTAAAACTCGAACTTAACTGCTTAGGACTGTTTATAGGCACTCAGAAGACATATTTCTTTCATTTATGCAAGAAACAAAGATATATGCAGGATGAAAGACCTTAACCAATCAACCCCTGACCAATTCAAATGAAATGGGGGTAACAGATTAGTTGGAAATCACACCTAGTTGAATTAAAAGGATTTCAATTCCATTTTGAAATCATTGACTTGAATCATTTGTAATTACCTCATACGTATTTTCAGGATTTCTCTGAATACAATGACTCTGATCGTGGACAGCCCTACAGTATACACAAGCCAAGGAGTGCCAATTTCAGTAACAGGTATCGCCCAGGTAATCATTAGCATTTCTCAGAAAAAAAACAATATCGATATCTTATACAGTAGATTTTAAAATGATACTGAAAGTACACTCACTGCCAAAAAAATACAGGCCAGCAAAAAATTTAGACAAATTATGATCGCACTGCCATTTTTAATTTGGAATTTTCTGATTTCAATTAAAAATTATTCAGAACCTATAGAGCATATTCGGGATGAACTCCAAAGGCGCATTCGTCTTCGTTCGGCCTTCAGAAGCCTCCTAATAAGAAGATATTGACGCGAAAAAAAACTATTGTGTAAAGAAGGGATTACACTTCAATCCGAAACATAATGAAGCTAATTTTGATCGCTTAGTATTGCTACAGGGCGCTTAGAATTTGAGGGCGAAAAAGCTACTTTTCCTGTATAATGAACAAGCCTTAACGATTTGGATAAAATAACAACAGAACCGGACAAGAATTGAAGGGGATATCTCGGCTCAATTTGTTCCTGTCCGTTTTTTTTTTGCCAGTGAGTGCATATCCATTTCAGTTCATCACCTGGATTAGAAACAGATGGAACTATCAATACCAATTCGAAAAAAAATAAAACAAAGCTTACCTGATAACAAAATCCCTTTCTGGTTTAGGTGAAGATCCAAGGTCAAAACGAGGAGATGCTTTTGGCAGCCTGTGAACAGTTCCTGGGCAAAAATGAGACGGAGATCCAGCACATCGCCCACGTGACCTTGGAGGGCCACCAGCGCGCTATCATGGGCTCGATGACGGTCGAAGAGATATACAAGGACCGCAAGAAGTTCAGCAAGCAGGTGTTCGAGGTGGCCTCCTCCGATCTGGTCAACATGGGCATCACGGTGGTGTCTTACACTCTGAAAGATATACGTGACGAAGAGGTGAGGATATCACATATGTCTGTTTACCCGAGGTGATTTTTTTATTTATTTTGTCTTTTATTCGCTTCGAAAGGGTGCTAAGGTATGTGGATAAATATTCGGATTGATTGTTTGTGGTTTAACGAGAGAAAATCAGTGGACTGAGACATTTGGGAACATTCAATTTCATCTCAAATCTGAATATCAGAGCTTTATCAGAAGGGGACAAAATGCAAGACTTTACAAACATTGATCCAATGGTTTCACTCTAACTGATTTTCTGATTGATTGTCTAGTTTCTAAGTTTTTGTCATTGAAATATTGACACCTTTGGTTACTAACCATAATGAACGAAATTTATATAATATTTTTGGTGTGGTAAGATTGTTGGTGATAACTTAGCACATGCTTAGCACTTAACTGTTATCAGCTAGACAAAACGAAATACACCAATACAATTTTGAAACCTACTGACACGTGCAACAGTAATAGACCCTGTATATCAATTTCAATAATTGGACAGGATAGCATCCCTTATTAATCTAGCTGACAATAATTATCTAACAATAAAAATCTTAATGATAATAATTTATCTTCCCTGTAGACCATTTAACTACCTGGTTCAATGAAAATAAAGTAGGTAACTGGATTGAAGGAAACTAGTACAGTACGAGGTATAATATGACTTACTTTTAGTAGTATGTGTAGTCAATGGATTCGTACGGCGTTCCTCAAAGCACCGATCTGGGCCCATTGCTGTTTAAAGCTTTCCGATATTTCAACAAACGCATGGAAACCGACTGGAAAATCCTAAAAATGAAAACGAATTTGAAATCAACTGTATCAAAATTCCAATACAACTCGTACCTTGAAATTTCGAAATGTTTTCAAATGTAAGCATCACATGAGTCCTTCCAGAATGAAGATACAAATCATAGAAATCATTACATATCTAACTAGACTCCTATAGTGTATAGTTCACTTTTCCTAGCAGTAGTCATTAGAGTCTTTTCTATCTATTTCCAATATTTCTTCTATTAAAAAATTGTGCCAATGAACAATATTTGAAGACCTAAAACTAAAAAAAAAATATGTAAACGATAGGATACAACAAGATACTTATATACATGAATACAAAACGCTTCAAATAAAAAACAAATACTTACTTGGTAAAAAAAGGGTATAAATGCAAAATTTTTATTTTCCGTATTTTTACAGATTTGTATACCTATGACCAAGTTCTGTTATGAGTGTATGAACTGAGCGCGACTGCCATCTACGGGCCAGTAAAAATACTCACTCACAGAGTTTGTGAAAATGATGCCTGCAAAAACGGTTTGAGTGCTTATATTTATACCGGTTTTGCACTAACTTCAGATTCCAATTCTATACATTTCACAGAAGATAGTCTTGTTTAATGCGTTTTCTTCGCAAAAAATAGTGTTCAGTCCAGTGGTTTTATCAGTACTGCAGATAAAGAACACATGAAAATGATCCTATTCTGGCTGAATTATGTATCAACAATCAACTCTAGACCCTCATTACACAGTATTATTTGACACTTATACCCTTTTCACACTAGACCTATCAATGCATTAAGCTGCACCGTTGCTACACTTATCCCACAATAGTCCTTTTTCAATTCGCAATTTGCCATAGAAAATAACACTTCTCCCCATCTGAGGCAACAACTTGAACACTGAGCGATTTGTTCTGATGGAGTAAGCACAAATAGAAAAACGAATGTAAACCAATGAAAACAAAACCTCTCAAAAACACCGATAGCAAGTCACATATGTGCAAAAATCGATCTGACGTAGAAAAGGTCTATAGCGGAAGGTAAAACAGCGCTAAGACGAACCAGCACCAAATCTCCCGGCCGTTTTCGTAGGGCTACCTGAAGAGCCTCGGCCAGGCGCGTACGGCTGAGGTGAAGAGAGATGCGCGCATCGGCGAGGCCGAGGCCCGATGCGAGGCGCACATCAAGGAGGCGCTGGCCGAGGAACAGCGCATGGCGTCCGTGTTCCTCAACGACACCGAGATCGCCAAGGCGAAGCGGGACTTCGAGCTGAAAAAGGCCGCCTACGACGTCGAGGTATGGACAACTTTTGGCTATAGTATTTTTGAGTATTGTATACAGGGCTTTCATTTCGAAACTTACCACCCTGCATATCTTTTGATCTGCGATTTAGATATCGAGGGGGTAGTAAAATGCCAGTATCAATCGAATTCTGTGTTCATCCTCTTTACCCCCAGACACCCCTACTTTGACATCTGAAATGGCGCCCCCTCTACTTTGAGATACATAAAATTGAGGGTCTATCAATGATCAAATCAACCAGGTGAAAAAATATTTATTTCGTATACAGGGTGAGTCATGAGGTACTGTATATACTCCTACCACGAACAGAGGCGCCTGAGGGGAATATCGAATGGCCATTTGGAGTTTTCCTCCTCTTCTACAATAATAAACAGGGTGATTCATAGGATTGAGCGAAAACATATTTTTGTCACAACTTTCCAAAACCGGACTAACGTATACAGAATTGAAAAAAATCCAGGACCGTTTTTGTGAAATGTTGCCAGCTATCAAAGAGTTCACTCTGTATATGGTTTCAGTGAACAATGACATCTTCTCTGTCAATCAGAACAAAATGTGATGCTCCATCCAGCTGAGAATGGTATACCCTACTACTACAGAACACGACAACTCTGATATCTTGGACTATGGATGATATGGAGGGACTCCGAAAGAATTTTTTCAGATATCTCGTAAACCAAGCAAAATTTAGAAAGAAATGTAGTGAGAAAAAAGATAGATAATTGATTTTGTTATTCAAGTAGATATTGAAATATTGTCAGTGGCGTACTCAAAAAAAGTTCTATGGATTTTCTCTAATCAGAATGCTAAATTTGTATCTTCCTGTAAATCGATTGAACTGATGAGACCTGTTATCTATGCATACTTCTTATAGTTGACTGCCTTCCAAATATCAGAGCATTTCCTCTCAAGGATTTTGAAATATTCAATAAATTCCATTCAAAAATTCCATTCATCGCCCTCTAACGGCCCAACGGTGCATTCTCGTACAGAGGTCAGTTGGTCCCAATCGACCTATTTTGTACTCTAGTTCACCCTGTTGAATTTGATGTACGTTGTTCTGGGACAGCCTGTATTACTATCAAACGAATAAACACCCTGTATAGTACATAGATGAAAACCCAAAGTCATCTCCACAACTTTTATTTAATGATCATAGATCCTATAAGGAACATGTTTCGGGCTTATATAAGCCCATCATCAGCCAAGAAAATGTAAAGTTCTAAAAAAGGACAGATTTGACCTATGGTATGATACAATAATATTTTACTTACATGGAAGTGAAAAATGTTGCAATATGTATACAATAAGCAATAACGGAGCAAGCAAAAGCCATTGCTCCATGATCTGGAAAAGGAACAGTGAAAATTTTTTGAAAAAATATCAATATGAGTGAAACTTACTGTTTATATGATAAAAATGTTTTTTGAAAAATTTTAATAAAGTTGAAGGTTGGGGGTCGGGAACATATTTAATAAGGGCCCACGGTACCCTTAAATCACCGATAAGTGGTAATTAAACTTGCAAATATCAATCTTTTGTAATAAGAAAGATGTGGCTTCGGAAATAACCAAGAAAAGAATCACATGTGCGGAAGCACTGAACAGTAAAATTGTTTGCTGTCAACTGTCAAGTCAACCAGATCATGGAACAACTAGTTACATAGATAGACAGAATAGGTGTATAGTACTTAAATTTGGAATCCAAATGGAATATTTGCAGCAATACCCGTTAAGTATCCAAGGTGATTGAATAATGTTTCTCGGGAAAAATCGTAGGTGCAAACGAAAAATGCCGAGGCAGAGATGGCGTACGAACTGCAGGCGGCCAAGACCAAGCAGCGGATCAAGGAGGAGCAGATGCAAATCGAGGTGGTGGAGAGGACGCAGCAGATCGCCGTGCAGGAGCAGGAGATCGCTAGGAAGGAGAGGGAGCTGGAGGCGACGATCCGAAGGCCTGCCGAGGCTGAGAAGTATAGGTGAGCGCCAATCCCTAACCCCGACATTCATGAAAAATGATGTGAAATTTCTTCCACATACCTCCAGCAAGTCTAGTTCACACGACTCTCTTATAATATAAGTAGTCTAGTGTACAAATGGGACCCTAATGTACAGGGTGTCTCCGTATATTTTGACCCCCTACCTACAGCTTCGACTTAGAGGGATGAATATTTCAATCTATTCGGGTAGCCAGGCGGCAATCAAAGCGAATTAACGCAGGGTATAACATGAAGTTGTAGTCATGTTGTAGCCATCTTGTGGCAAAGTTCTGAGGTAGGATACAGAGATATCGCGACATACACTGTATGGCGCTGCCACCTATAGTCGCACGTACAGACCCCTACGTCTATTCGCTACAGAGTGGTACTACAAGTAAATCACTCTGCTGACAGATGGCACTACCTGACATACTTGAGTGGAATTTTTCCACCACCTATTCAACTGCTAAATCTCATAACTAAGAGATCTAGGATGAACAGAGAACTCTTCAACTTCATGTTATACCCTGCGTCTTCGAAATGGGTGATATACCCGAAGCGTAGAGTTCTCCCAGTTGTCAGCAGACCGAGAGCGGCTGATGAGACCTGGTGGGTCGAAACAGTACTGTCTCGCTCCTGCTGACGATTGGGGCAACTCTGTTCATCCTAGATCTCTTAGTTATGAGATTTAGCAAAGCAAATTTACTCAAAGCTAGTATGGGACTGCTCAGAAACCCTAAATGAACTGGGCAATCAGAACAGACTGACTCTATCATGGGTACCAGCACATACAGGGTAATGAAAAGGCAGGCTCACTTGCCCGAGCAGGGGCAAACAAAGCTCTGAATGGCCCAGAACCCTTTTGTGGTATTGTGAATGGTATACATAAGACAAATATCAAATCATGGGTGCAAACCAAATCTCAAGAATGGTGGAACATCTCGCCAGGCAAAAGAGTTTATTAAAAAATCGATACAAGTTTGTATAAATAAGAGTTTGATATCGATCAGTAGCGGAGATACAGGGGGCCAAAACTCAATTATTTTTTCCTATTGTTTGAAATATCTCGCTCACTTCTGAAGACATCAAATTGAAATTTGGTGTGGTTGATAGTTTCTAGAAGAGCATTTTATGAAGCATTTCAAAGATTTGATACGTTTTTGAGGGTAGAGGCTTCTTTATTACCCATTTTCCAGTAACCAAATCCAAATAGGGTCAATCGTTCAATTTGGAGATTTTATCTGCATTTCAATTTTTTTCGAGAAACGCACCGCACCGTTTTCAAGATAAATAAGCATATCTGCGCAATAATAACCAAATTCCAATCTGAATAAGTAACGGGGATACAGAGGCTAGGAGGTCAGGTTGCTTTTAACCCACCCTGTTAAGCCACATCCTGTTGTATACATATTCCTCATCCAATATCTTTTTCAATATCATTTGAAAAACTCAGGAGATCCCAATGATGAGGCTTGAATTCCAGCCACCCTGTGCATGAGATTCTTCAGATTTCCAAGTGAAAATTAGACTACATATCACAGAGATTTATACCATTTTGTTCATAGACCCAAATAAAGTATTACTTTGTCTTTTAATATTTGAATATTGTGTGTTTGTATATAAAAATCATGATAAATATTTTATTCCCAGTAAATCCAAGCATAATGTGAATACCCGGCAAAAAAATTATGTATATGTCCCATTTGGTAAATGTAAATTAGCATACAAATTTTCAACTCACTGCTAATCAACATAAAAAACTGTGAAACATTGGCGGTACCTATGTTTAAAAGAAGATTGAAAGACTTTCTGTTACATAACTGTTTTTATAGTGTAGACGAGTATATGTCCCTTTAGTTTGTAAGACTGTACTGAGGATTCCTATACAATTTGAAATGTAATTGTCAAAAGCAAAATAAAGTTTATCTATCTATCTAATCAAGTATACATTATAGAGGAGTTCAGCTAACGTTGGGAAAGAAGAAGTATGTCTTGCTTCTGTCCTTGTTTTTAGGGTTCCAACACGAGTAAATATACCATGTATGCAGATGATACAGTACTTTTATATGAAAGCAAGAATCCTTCAAATTTAGAAAATATGATAAATGAAGACTTGAAAATATTTGAAAAATGGCTCCACTCTAACCTTTTATCGATAAATACTAAAAAAACAGAATATTTGATTTTTCACCAAAAAAATAAACAAAAAATTTTCCTCAACCTTAAAATGAAAAATGAACTCTTAAAACAAACTGACCAGATAAAATATCTTGGAATTTGGTTTGATGACAGGTTGAAGTGGGACAAACATATTGATGTTCTGACAAAAAAAATATCTCCAATTATTGGTGCATTGAGAAGATGTCCCAAACTTGATATTAAAATTGCAAACATGATTCTCTACTCTCATATACTGAGTCGTATCAACTATTTAATAAATGTTTGGGGAACTTGTTCAAAGAACAATTTCAATAAAATATCAACATTATATAGAAAATCGTTAAAAGTATTGTATCGTCTCCCATTTGATACACCAACCAATCAATTGTTTGAAATAACAAATACGCATTCTTTAGATGAAATATATAGAATTGAAACTCTCAAAATATCATATAATATCATAAATAAAAAATTGAAGTCGAATTTTATGTTGATACGGAATTCTGAAATTCATAATCATGAAACAAGACAATATAACTTGTTTCATCTTGACGCCGCTAGCTCCATTATCGGACAAAAAAGATTCACTCATTCAGCCTTAACTGAATTCAATAAACTACCTGACAATATAAAAAATTGCAGAAACATAGGTTCATTCAAAAATGAAGTGAAAAAATTGATTATTTCTGAGCGAACTGGATAAAATTGAACATGCCATTTTTTTTTCATTTTTTTTTTATTATTTTTTTTTTTTTTTTTTTTACAAATATTATTCTTTGTTTGTCAATTTACAGTTGTTGATATTATATTTTGTATAATGATATGTTTACCTATAGGTATATAATTATGTACTTCCTTATACCAGAGCCTATTCTGTCTGGAAGTTATTTGTTCAATAAATAAATAAATAAATAAATAAAATAAATAAAATAATGAAAATTATATGCTAGTAACCAACAAATGAATAGCAATGGACAAGAGGGCCAATGTAATCTAGATAGAAGTTGATTATAATTTCTCAGATATCTGAACTTCTCTATCAAGTATTAGCATTAGCATAGTGAACATTATTGACACAAGAAAAACATTCATGAAAATAAACAATTGCATGCTTTCTTCAGGACTGAAATAGCTAAAAAAAAATCATCCCAATTCTTTTATCAACATATTTTTGTCCAGTCATATACCCTGTATTGATTTCAATGACTGGACAGATTAATTATCATTATATGGCTAAAACATGCAATTTGCAAATATTTTGATTTGTATTGCAAAATAATATTATGTTTACCAGTAACTGAAACAAAAATAGAGTTCAGATTAGGTACTTATATGTACTTCTATAGAACTCAATATCAAAGTTAAACAAACCCAGTAAAGGTAGAAACAGTAATATCATTCCCATCATTGAAAGATTTTTAGCAACAATCTATCTCTCTTACAATGTAGTAAGTACCAACTAGAAGTAATATATACCATTCTTAGAGCTAAAGTGGAGAAATATTTGATAACAATTGATTGTTGAAATATTTCTGTCCATTAGTAGACCCTGTGTACTGATATCAATGATGGAACAGGGTACCTCCAGGAGTACCTAACATAGGCATATTATAAAAAATAAATTGCTTATTTTTGTTACTTAGCTATGTTGACAAGAAAATATGAATAAGGGTGTCCACCTATCAGTGTCTACCCAAAAACAATAGAAACTTGTAGACATTACAGTCCCCTATTAGAATAAAAGGAAACTCACTTACCTTGTTGGCATTCCATATTTTTTGTACCTATATGAGATAGGTAGATTGATACTTTGAAACATCCTCAATGTTATATACTGTACCTTCAAAACAGTGTGCCACCCATGTTTTATCCCTTTTTCATACTTTGCTGGTATGATTAATAAGCTCTACCAGAGCCAAGTCCACTATTTCAGAAAGATCTGAAAGGAATGAAACAGATGATGGAGCAAAGATGCAAAAAACTAGATGTTGGTTTCTTACACTCCAAATACATAAAAGATAACTATTCCTACTGGGATATCTGGACTCTAATTGTAAAAGACATAAAAATAAAAAGATAATGCAGACAGCTATCAGAAGAATTGGAAACTGTCTCTGTAAAATATTTTTCAAAAGCATTGGTTTCAAATCAAAATGGCGCAAAAACAAAAAAAACAGGTTAACCAACTGATTATTTTTTGCAACTAGATTAAAACAGGAATGCAACTTAAAATGACAAATTAATAATGGTACTTTGCCAGATACAGTAACACTACAAGAAAAAATGAAGCAGCTTCATTAAATTTTTGATTCAAAATTAATACTTCTCTCAACTCTCAACAAAGATGAATAGTTATTTTTGTATCTAGTGCACCAAATGCAACTTTGGTGATGGAGAATTGATGGTTAAAAAAAATTCTGGAGATAATTAAAGTATTTCACACAAGAGTTGTAAACACCTCTTTTTCTACAAATGTCAGAAATATATTTCTAGAGTAGTAATATTATATGCTTAGCTTAATATAAAAAATAGTGTTGAACTGGCTTGAAAGGCCTCTCCCTCTCCCTTGCCCTATCCCCCCTAGGTAGGCAGGATATTTCAGGAACATCAAAGGAATTTCATTTCATGCCCTTCAAGAGATAAATGATTTTTTGGATGTTTGCAGGATGGAGGGCCATAAAGTCTAAGTACAAAAATCTCATATAGTTTACATAACAATATGCACATCATTTTACTTCCAGCACTGCTCTGCACATCATTTTACTTCCAGCACTGAAAAAAAGTGTCACTTCCCAATTTGTTAGCAAGACAGGAACCTTGTCATTTTTTGACATTTGTAAAAAAAAGAAACTGCCGACCAGTCCACAAATTATACATTTTCTCGAGACTGCTGACCATTTAGTGCAATACATTCTTTCTGTGAAAAATCAGTGGGCATTGTCGGCAACCCCACAAAAAAGTATGGTATGCTGACTAGTCTGCAGACTATACTATATGACTATACTTTTGTTTTGGGTTGCTGACCAGTGGGCAAATAGTTATTTATTATACAAGGGAAAAAAGTAGTAGATTTTAGCTCCAGGTTGTGTTGTCACCCGACGCGTAGCGGAGGGAGACAAAAAACCGTGAGCTAAAATCTAATATTTTTCCCGTGTATAATACACTATTTTTTTCTGTGACAGAAGGAAGGACGAATCAATATTGAGAAGATATTACATTATTTCGAAATCTGAAAATTATCGACGTGAAATTTCAAGTTTTTAGTAGTAGGGACACCTGCGTTTTATAGGCATCTTTATCATTCTTTTGAAGTAATCAAATATCTGATGTCACTTCTGTCAGTTCAATTCTGTGATTTGATTTTGAAAAATTGCGAATTCAGTAGTTGTTTAGTAATATACGAAACCGCGAAGTCGAATGGAAGATAAGAGGATTTGCAGTTCTTTCTCGGAGACGGTATTATTGACTCATTTTTCGGAACTATAGCACAACAAAAGCCATTAACAGAGTATATATATGTGATATATATCCGGGAAAAAAGTACTCACTTTTTTCCCACGGGAAAAAAGTAATTTATGAAAAGTGACATTTTATAACCTGCCAACAGAGATGAAATGCCAAACTTTTTTCCCGTCACAGAAAAAATATACTTTTTCTCTAGATTGCTTGTCAATCTTGTTGTCCCCTGTTAACTGAGGAAAAATCATCTCTAGGAGCCCATTTATGAGGGATCTACCTAATCAGTTCGAAAAACGAATTAAAGGATGCATCCAACACAATCATAAACAACTAGACTTTGGTTTCTACCTTTCTACATTCCAATCCACAAGTGGAAAGGTAGTTTATCTATGGCAGAAAGCTATTCTATTCTAAGAATTGTCTCCTTCAAATACCTACTTTCTGAAAATCCTTGAAATCGTTGGATTTTATCACAATAATTCACAAATCACCACAAAATCACAAATGCAAATGGCACAAATTTAGAAACAGGAAACAGTATATAGACGACGACTGTCAACTGTACTGTATCCTGTATCAAAAGTTTGCAAAAACACCAAAATCAAGCTAACCACCTAATGGTACTTTGCCAGATAAAAAAAAAGAAGAACTAAGAAGACGAACAAATAACGTACACAGAGAAAAAAGTCACATTCAAAGCAGATGCGAGACGATTTTGCACGAATATACGTATTTATTTATGTAATATCAGATATAATATAGGTAGTATTATGTTTATGACGATCATATACATAATATAGGCCCTAAATATCAACAAAGAAATAAAAAAAGAACTTTTGGTATGTGAAAATTATAATACCCATATAATAATCTGAGCAGCTTTCAAAATTTGTATTATCAATTACCTCAATACCTCTCTTCAGAGACAAATCACTAATCTGTTGTTTCTGTTCCTGCCTTTTGAAAAATTCCATTTTTTCCCAGACCTTGCACGATCTCAAAGATAATATTCGAAATTTTACTCTACACCGAGAAAAATGTTTAATTTTCAAAAGCCATCACCAGTGTAAAATTATCATGCTTCACTCAATCATTCCTACCAATTTATTATGAAGATCTCTCTAGAAGTTAATTGAACTTCATGAATTTATCATTTTCAAAATTATTTATGTACGTATGTACCTTTTCCAATAATTTTTCATCAGGTTAGAAAAAATTGCGGAGGCAAACCACAAAAGGGTACTGCTTGAAGCCCAAGCTGAAGCCGAAGCTCTCAGACTAAGAGGTGAAGCTGAAGCATTCGCTATCAACGCCAAAGCCACAGCCGAGGCGGAACAAATGGCGAAGAAAGCTGAAGCTTGGAAAGAATACAAGGAGGCTGCCATGGTCGACATGTTCCTTGATGTATTACCAAAGGTAATGGATCGTAAAATGTTAGATTTAATCTTCTATGAAACTATAACAACACTTTTTTCTATGCAGATTGCAGCAGAAGTAGCAGCTCCACTATCACAAGCGAAAAAAATCACGATGGTGTCCAGTGGATCTGGTGAGATCGGAGCATCGAAATTGACAGGAGAAGTTCTGGATATTGTCAACAGAGTGCCTATGTTGGTCAAAAATATGACTGGCGTGGATATTTCAAAGGTAAAAATTGATTGAAGTACCTATTTGATGGATGACTATAATCACTTCTATAACCCCAATCTATAGTTTTCTCAACGTGCTTCGTCTATGGTTCTGATGTCAGTTTTTTTTTTTTTTTTAGTCAATCCACGCTGTATAGGCCCCAGAAAATTGGAATGATCGGCTGAAGGTCCCATGTGAGTGTCTTTGAGAAAAAAAAAACATTATTTTAACATTAATGGATCTGATTATATACATAATATTTTTGATTCGTATATCCAATACTGCCGTTTGTATATTACTTTTCTATCCAAGCGAGAAAAAAATCACTCTTCAAGGCTGGCAAAAATGAAGCTAATGACTTCATGAGTATCAAATTAGGGCCTTTTTTGGCGAATGTTAATAATTCACTCCAAGGTTTTCTTGATTGATTCTTTCCTCATCTATATAATGCTTATTACTAAAAGTAATCGAATTGATCAATGTTTTCGCAGCTGTGGCCATTTCTGGTTCAAGTTTATTTTCGTTGAAAATGCACAAATGCATTATTGTGAGGGTGTTGAAACCCAATTTTTGAGTTGTATTTTGTGTCGCTCGTGTTACTTGAATATTTCTCGTTTACAATTTTTATATTTGTTAATATGTGTATTAGTTGTAAGTCCAGAAAGATTTTTAAATTTATGATCACTATTATTTTTATACCTTCCATGTATATGTAAATGTATTTTATTAAAATTAACTGTGAAGGCAAAATTCTGGTTTTATTACTTTTTAGTTTTCATGAATAAAATTTCCCCTGGATGCCAGATATTCAAATTTCTATATACAGGGTATTGTTGGATTTCTAATGGACATTTTCATATTCTGAAGGAATTAAAACATGGATGTGAAATTTATGTAACTGAAAGATTCTTTAAGTGAAAATTCATTTGTATTTTCAAATTACTGATTTGAAGAAAAAATACTGAAATAAATGTCGATTTGTTGAGATAATTCAACAAGGTTTAAATGACAATCAGATGAACAATGTTATATAGTATTTAATATTCCATGATAACAGGGAGTCATATCACAATAATTATACAGATAGGATAACAGATTATATCATGATAACTTATATGATTTTTCTATAATTATGCAAGAAATCCTAATAGAGGGTTTTCACGTTTTTCTAAAGGGCATTTGTATAAAAAACCTAATTTATGAATTGGACTTGAACAACTACTTTGCTCATTGGAAAGATATATCACCTATAATGTAAAGTTCATATGTGATGCTTGAATGTATAGAGATCAGTCATTTTGTTGGCTTAACTGGTAACTGTCTTATATGAAAGGTCTGTATGAAATCATGTCAGCAGTTTCTTCATTCAACAAAATACCATTATGAATAACTCACTGTAAATATACAGGAATTTCCAATTGATATTTGAATTCGGTTATGATTGACAAAATTTCCATTTTGTACTAAATAATGAGGAGTAAATCTATCAACTATCATTCACAATGACCATTATGGAATAAATTAGAAAAATAACTTTATCTTGAATAAATATAAAATTCTAAAGTGTCATGATCAAGCATTCTGTTTACACTTTGCCCAGCAAATCATGGGCATACAATTTTTTTCTATATCCCCTTCTTAGGAACATATGAATCAAGGCAATAATAAGTAAGAAAGAAGCTACATAGAGAATGAAACACATAGCAGCATCAATACTTTTGAAAAAACTTGGTTCAGATCGAACTGTTGAACCATCTAAACCAAGGTGTAAAATCCTTGTATCAGAACCAATGTACCTAATATTTATACTACTGTAGACATGCTTGAGATAATGCAGCACTTCAGGAATATTCCAAGAGTCATCTTTGTTGTGACACCTGGGGCATTTCTCTTGTGTAGGAAACTGTTGTTTAGGAAATTCAGGGTCTTCAGTTTCATCCCCAGATAACCTCTTATTGACCTCATTGTGAGCCATCCACAGCCAAAGAATAGAATCATCCCAGGAGGTCACCTCAAAGATCCCCTGTCTTTTTGCCATTTCTTGGAAATGTCTGCTACAATCTGCACACCCAAAGAAATTCTTGATATAACCATGCATGGCCCCTAAAACTACCATTGGGCTAGCACCCTTGAGTCCCATGCTGGAGTCTGCAGCATTGACTGACAGGTAATGGAACATTTTCCAAAGACCACAAGGGTAACCCCTGAAAGCAGTTGAGCTTCCCTTGCAAGCCAGCCAGTTTTGGGGGGTGGAAAACACTTGGCTTTCTTCTTTCTCAGCACTTTCCAGGAGCTTAGCAATTTCATTGCCATCTAAGGTAGTTCTGCTTGCCACAAAGTCTCTGAGCTGCCTGAGGAATTGCTGCCCATATTTCCCAAAAGGGAAATACTTTGCAAGCACATTTAGATATGTTTTGAGAGCCTCTAGTTTGTCTCCAGTGATTTCTTTGACCCCAGCAACTTCATGTTTCAGGGAATAACGAAGAGCAGTTTCTAGATCCATCTGGAACACAACATCACCCATTTTCTTGATTTTTTCCTTAAGGGCTTCCCGTTCCCTTTCATGCATGAATTCTTTCATGTCCATAGCTTTGTTTTCTAGCCATTTTCCCTCAAATATTTCTTTTTTAACATTCACTGGCACTGTTATATGTTTTGGCTTCAAAAATTGACTTATTGAAATCTTATAAGCTTCTCTTGAAGAAGCTGAAGGATTCAAAGATTGGAATGTTAGGTCTTGTGCTACAGAAAAAATTGCAGGAAATTTACTCAGTTTGAGCATCTTCACCAAGTCTGTGTTATTATTAAATGAATAGCTGATGCTAATATCCCTAATTTTGTGAAAATCCATTGCCAATTCTTGGCCAATGAAGTCTGTAGGTTCTTGCACAATTAGGAATGTATATCTAACATCACTATCAACTCCATTAAAAATTAAAGAGAGATCTTCATGAGTGTAAGGTAAAATGTTGGGATACTGTTTTCCTCTATCTTCAGCTTGTTCATTCATAATTTCTCTCAACAGTTTTTGCCTGTGTTCTCTAACATCTGATCCCACACTTATTTTGTGTCCCAACTGTTTCAGATCTTCCTGGTAATTTTCATGGAAATATTTGATAGTTGGGTATGACATGATTTCAAATTCTCGGCAAATGGCATTGTTCTGATCATTTGAACAATCAATCACGCCAATCCCAACAAGGCTTTTCCAATCCTTGACATCTGTTGCAAGAGCTTTCCAAGACGGAGCAAACCTCTGACAAAAACCACACCAGCTGTTGTAAAACTCAATCAACCATGCTCGTTTGTTGCCATACAGTTCGTTCTTGAAGTTTTCAACTGTTAAGATGTCCACATCGTCTTTGGATGAGTATAAACCCTGTGCATCTGTGTACCGTTTGTATTTTTTCTGTTCGAAAATGCTTAGTGCAGAATTTTCTGATATTTGGATCACAGATGAAATTGACAATAAAATTAGAGTAGATTGAACTATAGTAGGTAGCATACTTCTTTTCAGTGTCCTGAAATCTTCGAGTCTTTGTTCTCGTTCGTACCGCACCAAAACAAAAAAAAATTCAAAAATTTTGTAGTTTTTTTAGGTTAGCTCAATCTTCCTTCAATCAAATGTGCCGTTGTCGTGAAACTCGTGTTTCGACTAGAGATGGGTATCGATTGTGTCTCATTTGTTCCAAGTGTGTATCGATAATTTCACTAAAAAAATATCGATACTATCATTTTATATGGATGGATCGATATTTTCTCTTCTGCTCTATAGCAGTAATATCAGTATTCTAGTGTGAATGTAATTGACAAAGAGGATAATATCGTGAGAAGCAGCCAAATGTAACCAGAAAGAAGTAGTACTGTCAGTTCTACCAACCTTGCCTTGACCTCTAGTTAAGATGCCTATAACACTGTGATAGTTATAAGCATTTCAGATCTAGTAGAGCGATCTACAGGAGGGTGGAGACTCACCACTGGAGAGTCTGTGAGAAATTGGTATATTCTTTCAATCATAAAATATGTATCGAAATTTTTCAATATCGATATATAATTTACGATCGTGTATCGATACTTTCAGCAAGGAACGATTTATCGGACCTCTGTATATTTCAATGCAGCCACTGAGATGTTTATAATTATAAACAAGCAAGAAAATAAAAAATGAAATTCAAATCAATATTTGAGTTTGAAATGTCACTTCATTTGGTATTACATATTGGATTCAGGAAATTTTCCAGAATTCGAAATTTCAATGTTCCATTCGAGAATCACAAGTTATTACCATTTTCGGTTTCACGTTTCACCGGAAACTTCCACTATGACCGGAAAGCAAAACATAATTATGTCAAAACATGACGTTTATCAAGTCGATGTGTCATTCCAAATTTTAATCACTTATCCCATATCACTGGAACTGGGGGAGAAAAGGGGGCGGGGTGTACTTTTGACTTATATGTTTAGAATCGAGGGAAATATCACGAAATACTTAATATGCTGTACAGGCTTTGGACAAAAAGGTGTAAATTCAAATTAAAAAACCTGAATTCTATATTACCTATAAGTATATTTGATTATCATTCCATACAAACTTTTACAAACGTATATTTGATTTATATCCTCAAGTTATTATGAAGCATTTAAGACAGAGAGAGTATTAAAATAGAAGCGGATGGAAGCGGGAACAAAATATTCAATAATCGGGCGCTAAAATGACGAACGATGAGTTTTATCGAAATGGTTTCGAATTCAAGAGGATTCATACAGGATGATTGGATGTATGGAATTTTTCACAACATATTGCATTCTGATATGTTCAACCACCATAAACTCAACTTCAACAGAATTTTACATTGGCATATTTATATTGAAAAAATGATAAGTATATAAAATTGACATGGGACGTTTATCATGATGAATCGTTGCCCCACGTTGGTTGTTATCTTAGGGAAGTTGTCGTTCCAGTTGCCCAAAACTTTTGGTGACAATTTCATATACTGATGGTTGATCATAATGATAATAATGAACTACCACATCGTGCGAGAATTGTCACTGGAGTTTGAAGACAACATAATATTGCCTACTTTTTCTCCCTATAGGTACGCACTATGTTCCTTCAACATTATATAGGGATTTCCTTCCGTGCGCTCCAAGAAATAGAAAAAAAAAAACTTTCTCCCGGCATGAATCCGATTAAACACGTATAGAGAAGGAAAGGTCAAATTATGAATCTTGACCAATCAGAGGGCGCGATATTGGAAGAGTGGAATTTTCACAGTCTCTACCGGGTGTCAACGTATTCATTAGACAAGCCATACATTCCAGAGTTCCGAAGGTATATAAAATTCAAACTTGGCAGGGGTGTTGGATTCAAGAGTTGTGAAATCTCTCGATATTTCATACTCTCCCATCACTTCCGCTTTTACCGACCAACTCTCGATTTTCTATGTCTAGTGGAACATTCTGTGTTTTATTTCATAATCAGTAAGTGATTATCATAACAAATTCAACGATACCGGGTTCGATACGGTAATTCAAAACGATTACGAAGATATTGGCGTTCGAATTTTCCATAATATGCTCAATGGGTGTGACAGCGCAATATTGAAACTTCTTTCTCTGTCACACGTCTTATTGAGCATATGGGAATTTCGAACGAGAATATCTTCGTAATCGTTCGAAAAAACCCGCTCACACCCAGTATTGTTGAATTCGTTATGATAATCCCGAACCACATATGGAATAAAATACAGGATGCCCCATTTGGAAATTGAAAGATGGGGTCGTTTCTGGTCAAACCGGGAAGTGATGGGAGGGTATGGAATTTTGAAAAATTGACCAATTCTCGAATTCTACACCCCCGCCAAATTCATCTCATACCTCTGGAAATCTGGAAACCATGGTTTGTCTGAAAAATTCGATGATACCCGGTATGTTTGAAAATGTACAACACATTGTATAGTGATAGCGTTGAGCAGGATAAGCTAATGTAAAGTTCTGTTGAAGTTGAGTTTATGTTGGTTGAACATCAGAATGCAATATATTGTGAAAAATTCCATATATCACAACTTCCTGTATGGATCTTCCTGAATCTAAAAATATTTCGAGAAAGCTCATTATGCTTCATCTGATCGCCCTCAATGAAACATAATGAAAATCCCTGCCAACCGGGACGATCTCAAACTTGCCGAAAATTGCAACATAACTTGAAAAATGCCATACATCGAAACATTCTGTATGAATCCTCTTGAATCCAAAACCAGTTCGGGAAAAATCATTGTCCTCCATTTTATCGCCCTCAATAAAACATGAAAAAAAATCCCGGTGAAACGGGATGATCCCAAACTTTTCGAAAATTATCACATTTTCAGAGACCTATGTCGAAAAGGTGGAATGACAAAGTACTGACGTTTTACTCAATGGAATGGGCGATCAGAATCATCAAAGAAATTGATAATTGGTTGATCCAATCCAAAGTTATGACGGTTTGGAAATGATGAAATTTTTGCTTGTCTCACTTCAAATGTGGGGCAGTTTAGAAGCGCGAACAAAATATTCAATAATCATAAATAGTCTTCTGTTTGGTAGGTCCTAGTCTACTATAATGAAAGCATTTCTATACTCTATATAGGTGGCGGTAAAGGTCCTTGGTGCCTAGATGACCCTTGACTCCCGGATGATGCCTTCAGATGCAGAGATGGCTTGTTAGTGCGGGATATTTTAGGAGCCTTCACAACTGTTCTTCGTTTCAGATAAACCGGGACATAGTCAACATCTTCATCATCTTCGTCTTTATCAAATGCTTCCAGATCAACCAATGGGATGTCGTTGTCGCGGGTTGGTGGGTTTTTCGGTCTGAGCTGTTGCCTTTCTTCCTTAGCTGAAATAAGGGGACGGAGACAATAAATATGCTGACAATTTACCTAATTTTCATTTGATCTCAAAAACTCACTAAGATACACCAGTTCATCATAGCTATTCAAAGGATTGATCCCAAAGAATTTGTAGAGTTCTTGGTCGTATTTAAAGTCCATAAAAATCATCACTGCTGATAAGGAAATACAAATAATACCTGAAAAGTAGTTGTAAAAAATATTATTACATTCCTGATTGCTATTTCTTATTTTACCAAAGACAAATGTGCACCAGAAATTGAAACCAAATTTTGTTTCCAATGTTTGATCTTCGAAGGGTATAACAAGTGGAAATGGGTTACGTACAACCAGATATATTAAATTCGCGAAAAGTTGTAAAGCCCCACATAGTCCAAGAATGTAGGCCCCATAATGGATAACTGTAAAAATTCACAAAAAGGATTGATATGGTCGTATTTCCCTTCTGAATATTTTGCTCACGAGTTTTTATTTTACCTGATCTGAAGAGCAAATTTGTCAATAACCAGCAAGCAAAAGCAGCCCACATTATAATATGAGTGTACCATCCAGCTGTTCTGTAAAATCTACCATATCTTTGACCTTCTCCATCAATAACAAAATAGTCAATTATCCACAGAATTGGTAGAGGCAGACCTCTATATTGTGCTGCCCTAAATTCTTGTTGCAATCGACCAGCTGAAAAATCAGAAAATCATGTCAAAAACACTGTTCAACATTGTTGCAGTGTATTTTTCATGACCTGAGATTTTGGCACATTAGTTCCATGGGCTAAGAGGGTCGTAGGTTGAAAAAATATAAAAAATCTTAGCATGCCATGCCACAACACAAACTAACCAACCTTGAATATTTTGGTTATTTTTACAATGTACAGGCCCATTTTCATCAAGCTCTTTTTACAAACTTGAACAATCTTCAAAAAATCACGTTCTTAAAAAAATTTAAATGTATCATGTGAATTGTCCTCCAAAATATACGTCAAAAGATGTCCCTCAAACAATGTCATTCGACGTGTTTCGGGAAATTTTTCCACTCACTATGGGATAAGAAATATACGGGGTGGGATGGCTATCGTCTGAGGTGGAACACCCTGTAAAAACATTAGATACCTTGAAAAGGAATATTCTACGATAAATTATGGCTATTTGTCACGCCGAACATTAAATTATATCTGTTGAACATCCAAACGGGAAGCATGAAAAATAAAAATCCTCTGAAATTGGGAATTAACATTCTCTCTCAAATCGGATAAATAATATGATGTATTATGATATAAAAATATAACCTACTAATATGGTTTCAAACCCTCCTCAGTAACCTGAAGTCCAGTTATTCTTTCAGCCATTCTTCATGATATACACAATTTTTATCTCTCTATAATATAACTAGAAGTATAACGAACTGATATCTAAGAATTATTATTTGTTGACATTCAATCCTTGTCATCTGGTAGTTTTTGTTTATGGATGTATGACATATAGGAACGTGGAAAGAAATTCTAAATTGAAAATAGCCATGAGAGTAGTTGTTTTCTGTTGAATATTCAGAATGGAGGAGAATGCAAATTCTCAACTTCAGAAGATTTTGTTTTCAAATTCTTATCGTGTGTGTTTAATAGATATAATTCAATGTTCGTCGTGGCATATGACCAGGAAAGTAGTAGTTTCCTGTTAAATAAACCGAGAAAGAATTTATATTTTCATCAGATAGAGAATGGGAATTCTCAATGTATTTCATTATATATATATATATACACAGCGTGTCTCAATTTAAACGGCCCCCCATTATATCTCAGTTATTAGTCATGCGATTCCAACCAAATTTGGTGTGGTATGAATAACCATCAATATGATCAGTTTTACAGAGATGCACATTATTTTGGACAGTGCCGTGCGTTTCTATTGAATTAAAGTCACAATCTAACCCCATATTATTGTTTCTCATGCTTTCGAACTTCCATATGCAAAAAATCACCTAATTCCGAATTAACAGGATTGGCTTCATTTTTTTCATTTTCAATCTCGCATAAATAGTGACTTCAAATCAACAACGAATTTTGGAACGTTTAATGGCTCCGGTAGGTGGAAAATCGTGATTTGGAAGGAAAAACGAGTTATACTTTTTTATGTTGAACTCACCGTTTCCGAGTAAATAATTATTACGTTCACAAAGATGCTGTTTAGATATGCCTGTTTTTCTGAAACCCTACATAGGCATCTTATGAAAATCCACATATATGGGTTTGAAACCATGAAGAATACATCGACAAATCAAATACCTTACCATGTGGACCAAATCCAAAATTCCCTTGGTCCCAAGTCCATTCGAATCTCTCGTTGTAATTGATTATTTCATACTTCAGGCTGCTTTTCGGGTCCGGTTGAGCTCTTAGAGTAACATTAACACTTCTGAGGCCGATTTTGATAGAAATGGAGGCATTGATTTCATCCACCGTTCCAGCACGATAAGGGGTCTTGGACACTATATGGGCCACTTCCCATTCTTGTCCATAGTTATTTACTGAAATAAGGGATGTACAAAAAAATTAGTCCCTATATGTGTTTGATAACCAGAGAATCTTTTGAGTATAAATTTGTCACTTACTCAAGAGTAATGTTCCTATCAGCAAACTAAGAGACACCCTGGTGAAAAGGCTTAAATTCTACAAAAAAAAAAACAATACTAAGCTTAGTTTGTTCACTCCCACTTTCTCATTATAAACATCCAGAAAAAAAGTTATTCAACTTTCATTATTCCAGATTTTTTGGTATTTTTTCTTCTTGTTTCTATAAAATAAAAAAATATAAATATTATTTCAATACACGTGTGGTAAGTACAAATCAGATGATTCGCCCAAAACTGTCACTGCGTTTAAAGAATTTTCCTATCAGAGAGCCTACAAACTATCAGTGACAATTTGTTTTGAAAAAGGTTTGGAGAAGAATCGAGAAGAGAAATGAAGGTATATAGAAAATATATCAAATTTTCACTTAGCTTTGGACGTTTCGGGAAAGAATCTGCTCCCGTTTTCAGCATAAAAAATGGATATTTGTATAGCAAATTCGTATTCGTCTTGACACTTCTCAGTTCTCAGTGACAATTGGTTACTTTGGCAATCAAATGAGTTACAGGATGTTTTCATTAATCAATCTTGAATTCACCATTTTCATTTTCCAAAGCCAAGTGAACATTTGATATTTTTTCTATATTCATTTCTCTTCTCCAGACCTTTTTCAATACGAATTGTCACTGACAAGCTAGTGAATGTTTCTTTTAGGCTCTCTAATAAAAGAATTCTTCAAACGCAGTGACATTTTGGGGCAAATCATATGATTTGTCCTAACTGCACGTATATTGAAATAATATTCATAATTAATTAAGAGAACAAACTCAAACCTCACTCCAAGTAAATTTTAATAAAATAATACGTGCTACATGTTTCGACTCCTAGGAGTCATCATCAGGCTAAAATACAAAAAACTTATAAATAAAAGAAGTTCCATCACTATTGGAAAATGGATGACATACCTTGCTAGGTAGGAGGAGAGAAGAAACTATAAAATTAATTAATAACATATGGTTCACGAGGGTTTTGGGCCCCAAATGTTTTTTAAAATTATCCAATAGTGATGGAACTTCTTTCATTTATAAGTTTTTTGTATTTTAGCCTAGGAGTCGAAACATGTAGCACATATTGTTTTATTAAAATTTACTTGGAGTGAGACTTTGAGTTTGTTCTCTTAATTATCCCATCACCTCCAATTTGAGCATGGACTACTACCAGAGATATTCATATTTCTTCATTTTACAGAAACGAAAAGAAATTCCCGAAAAATCTGGAATAATGAATGTACCACCTCCTGGATTAACCTACAGACAATATTTATTCAACTTTACTGAAGTAAAATTTCTTGAATGGGTTGAAACAGTGATGGACAACTGATTTACGAAGATAAAATCGTCTATTATATTTAGTTAACAAAAATTCACAAAATTAAAAAAAACACACAGGATTTTAGAAACTTGAAAGTTGATTATTACTTACCTGGTCTTTCCTGTTGGTGGGTAATGAAATAAAGAACGATATCCCCAAGATGACTGATGCAGCAATTAAACCAGCATCTAGTATATCCACCCCAACTGGGGTGTGATTTGGGGCATATTGGGTAGGGAACCCTTCTTTTCTGGCAAATTGGAAGGCCATTTGTTGCCTTTCAAACCGACGCCCGTTTTATTCTCTAGACTGATTACTGATGTTGAACGTATGCCATTCACCACTTCCTATTTGCTTTGATAAGATAAAGGGAAATGAAAAATTACCGGTTCTTTGAAAATATTTCATTTATTTCAATATAATTCCCATTATAAAATAGTTAAACGTTATAATATAAGAGATGGAATGTAAGATTATTGTCAAATTTTGGTATATTGAGCTAGTTTCATTACTTAAGCTACCTATAGCTGTTCAGTTTATCACAAATAGCAACAAATACCCAATACATTAAAACAATAACAAAAAACGAGTCACCTTTTTACATTTGTTAACGACTTTATACAGTGTGGTCATTCAAGTGTGCAACATATGGGAATCTTTTTAATGAATTGCACAACCAAAATACAGATAGTGCCGAAAGTTGGTGCATGTTGCGTGATCATTTGCAAGTCACACAGCATACAGGGTAGGTCAAAAAATATAAACATTGCTCAAGAGTAAAGTACCCTTATTTCAGAAAATTCAGAAAAATGTTTTCGAGAAAAGTTGTTTACAATTGAAAGTTATGCCCGAATACCAAAACATGGCCTCCTAAGACATTTTTTAGTTTTTCAATTTTTTTCGTGAATAATTTCCCGGTTTTTTTTATATTCACCCTAAATACTTTCATAAGTTAATCATAACAAAATCAGTTGAGCATACCTTTGTTCAAATTCAAGCATATTTGTGCAATTAACTTGGATTTTAATTTTTTTAGGGAATCACAAACTTTATGTTTGCTGCAACGATATTCGCAAACCATATTTTTAACAAGGTAAAACATCATTAATGATAATATGCATATTCAATAACCTCCATTTAATGTGAACATTTTGTATTCAAAATATTACAAATTGGGAAATTATTAACGAACAAAATTGATGAACTTCAAAATGTCTTAGGAGGCCATGTTTAGGTATTTAGGCATAACTTTCAATTGTAAACAACTTTTCTCAATAACATTTTGCTGAATTTTATGAAATAAGAGGGTACTTTACTTTTGAGTAGCTTATATAATTTTTGACCTACCCTATATGCTGTTTGACTTGCAACCATTCTAGGTGCACCTAAAATGATTACCGAACATGCACCAACTTTCGGACCTATCTGTATTCTGGTTGTGCAATTCATTAAAAAGATTCCCATATGTTGCACACTTAAATGACCACACTGTATATGTATTAAAATTCAAACTGATATCAGTTTATTCAATAAAAAGGCAGCAGTAAATTTGACGAGTCAACAAAAACCACGCAGCTGACTAAAAATAAAAAAAAGTTATAAAATTTCGCATCAGACCGAAATTGTTAAAAATTATAGACGTTGACATTCTCTATTGATTATTTTCTTCTTGTTAAACACTGTACACACGTGGAATGGATAATCTAATGAATGAAAAAAACAACAACAAACCAACTGTACCAACTAAAAATATATAACAAGAGCATATGCTATAATATCATATATCAATATAAATAACAATATCTGAGCTGTTTACAAAACCGTGGAATGTAAAATTATAGTGTATTTGTTGCCTAATATGAATTCTATCAATAAATTATTGTAAAAACTTAGGATCTAGTAAATAAATAGAAAAAACAATTCTACCCAATCATAACATTTGTCCGAATATTAACGAGCCACTACATTCTGTTGACCTTTAAAAACATATTTCAAAAGTTATTCAAATCACCAATATCAGTCTCAAATTAAAGGCCAGAGCCTCGAAAAAAAAAAGTTCAGATCATTTTCATCAAGGATTCTCTATCCAATTGAAGTTCATGGCTACAGGGGATATAGTTGAATAATTTTAGTACACAGAGACCACTAAAATTTGATGTAGAAAAATTTCAAGACTGGCTTCAGGAGTGTTCCCACATAAAAAATAATGAATTTAAAAAAATAACAGGACCAGAATGATTATGGAACTACAAGCACCAATATGAACAAAAAACAACACAGCAAGTGCATTTTCACTCGTTTTGAATCTACCCTGTATATCCAGAATGTAATGCGCTCTAAACCACTGTTACAACACCAAAAAAATTGTTCGATACCCTAGATAACAAAATCAACAAGATTAAAACACATGCAAAAAAACAATAAACAACCTTAATAGACCAGTCGGCAGAGTATTAAAACTTACGTCAATCCCAAAAGTGTTTTGTCAAATAATGAAATAAACGTGACATAATGTGCTATTCCACTTTTTATTTAAAAATCAATACCTCAATAGTGCGATAAAGTACCTTTTCCTACGACTACTATTGTGATTGATGAATATTGTACAGGGTGGCCAACTAAGACTCCAGAGTTCGATTTCTCTGTAGTCTTGAGAGATAAAAAAAATTCATGGATCAAAATTGAAGTAATAACCGAGCTTCACATTTCAAAATTTTTTTGAAATACACAGGGTGTTCCGTAAGGTCACAGCACATCAAAGCTATGTTTTTTTCATTGGAGCACCCTATATTTCATTTCATTCTTGAATTCTCTCTGAAAATCTGATTTCAAAGAACCATCATACTTAGGGTCTAGCAGTGAAAGTTACTGACATATAGGGTGTGCAAAATCGAGATTTTCCAAGTTCGTGATTTTTTTCTGTCGAAACTGTTCATTATTCGTCAAAACGGTTTACATGTCCCTATCTCAACTTTTCACTCACTATCAATTGATGTTCAATTGAAATTGATACAAGGTGGTCAAAAAATCTAAATTTATAATTTGTTTCAATTGAATGTCAATTGAACACCAATTGATAGTGTGTAAAAAGTTGAGATAGGGACATGTAAACCGTTTTGACGAATAATGAACAGTTTCGACAGAAAAAAATCCTGAACTTGCAAAATCTCGATTTTGCACACCCTATATGTCAGTAACTGTCACTGCTAGACCCTAAGTATGATACGTCGTTGAAATCAGATCTTCAGAGAGAATTCAAAAATGTAATGAAATATAGGGTGTTCCAATTAAAAAAACATAGCTTTGATGCGCTGTGACCTTACGGAACACCCTGTGTATTTCAAAGAAATTTTGAAATCTGAAGCTCAGTTATCACTTTAATTTAAATAAGAAACTTTTTTTGTATCTCTCAAGACAACAAAGGTATCGAACTCTGGATTCTTAGTTGGCCACCCTGTACACAAAACAATGTCTGTAAGCTTCTCCTTAGCGAGCGATCGCACGATTTTCATAGATATGTTGACAGATGACTTTGTTTTGATGCTTAGACAATATGTCAATTTCAGATTATTTCAGTAGCTAGATAGGTTCTTATATTTTCATCAATAAATCAAGGTATCAATCGAAAACAAAAGGCAAATCATATTTTTTGAAAACGATTATTTTCTGTTGATATTTCTCAATTTCAGTTACGAAATGTCAAGCGATGACGATAAATTATTTCTACACCTCCAGAAATCCTGGAGAGAGCAAAAATGGCAACAGTTGAGTTGAAGTCTCGTGAGATACGAAATCGCTTACAAAAAATTACTCAGAAATAATATCATGTCATTTTCGGAAAATATTCTGTTACTGCACAAAGACTATAAATAATCATTATAATAATTTTATGTTTATCAATTGTGTTTTGTTATTAATAAGGTTTTTAAGATATGAAAAACGGCATCATTTTAGTTCAAATTGAGGAAAATGTTTCGTTATGCAATTCACCAATAAACAAATAGAATAATTGTAATTTGTACATTTTCATGCAGTTAGCTCAAAGTGACAGGACACGTATTCGATGTTTGTGACTTATTAACACAATATCTATACTATCCTGAAAGAAGTATAGTGTAGTCGTAGAAAAAGTATAGTACATTTCTCGAGTTGTGAAGTAATTAAGCACTTGTGGAGTTACACACTCGCCGCTACGCAGCATCATGTGTAACTCTCTCCACTTTTAGCGTTTTACACAACTCTTGTTAACCATCCCTGTAATTTCTGCATTCTTGAAAGGATTTTTCTGAAATTTGGTAGTTATATAAGCAACCATTTCGGATTTGATCACATTACAATCCGGACTTCCGAGTTTTCTGGAACATTGTTTTTTCAAGTCAAAACAAGTGCAATCTTTATGTCAAATGTCATTTTTTCGAAAATGTTGAAATTAATATTGTCATTTTATTTCACCTCGTGGATAAATGAGATGTTGTCGAAGCTATTCACAATGAGCCCCACATACTAGACTTACTGAAGAAACATAATTTTTTCAGAAAAACTATTTTTTCTACAAACGTCAAAAAATGACAAGGTTCGCGCATTGATAACAAATTGCGAAGTCTTACTTTTTTTCAGTTATCTACGTTAACATGATACCTTGCACAAAACAATGCGCGAAGTAAAACAGTGCGCGAAGTACCTACTTCGCGCATTGTTATGTAAAATATATGAGATATTTATATTTCAACTTTATGGTCCTCAATCGAGCAAACATCCACGAAATCATTTAATCCTGGATGTTCAACAATAACTTTGTTTTATCTCTTGGAGCGCACGAAATGAAATTCCTATTATGTTCGTGAAACATCGTGCGTACCTAGGGAGGATAGGGGGAGGCCTTTTAAGCCAGTTCAACACAATTTTTCATATCAAGCTGAGCATATTTTTACTTTAGAACTATATTTTTTGACATTTCTAGAAAAAAATGTTGTTTGCAACCAAAGTATTTCGCGCTCTAGATACAAAAATAACTATTTTGTGTCACTTATCGATGAATAATTCCAGTCAAGAATTAAGTTTTTTCAAATGGACCTACATGTCTCTCTAGAATATACATTTGGGAAAAAATGGAAAATAATTTTTGTATTTCGGTGCAATAACAAATTGTATATATTCAAAAATCAACAACTATATTTTCATGAATAAACTTGCCGTTGGAATAATTTTCCAAGTATAAGCTGTGAAAAACAACATTTCTGAATGTTGTCATAAGATTGCGCTTGTTTTGACCTGTTGAATGTGAATATGTAAAAATATACAGTGTTCCATTTGAAGAAACGAAGTTGCTGGTTGTCACCAAATCCGAAATGGTTGCTTACATGACTGTACCAAATTTCAGAAAAATCCGTTCACGAACGCAGAAGTTAAAGGGGTGGCCCGACACCCTGTGTCACCCGGTATACTCTGACCACACTAGTACAATGAAGTAACATTTACAAACTAGTGCAGTAAAGTACTTTATCGCACGCGAGCAGGCAAACAACGATTTGCAATTCATGTAAGTTACTATAGTCTTTAGCGACTGACCCAAAAATCAGCTCATGCAATACCAGTAGCGATAACTGCTGCATCGAGATTCTGTTTCCGATGATGGTACATGTGCACCCGCAGACAGCTTTGGTTGCGCATAGTTTTACCGCAGATTTGACAGTCGAGGTCCGTGAAATTCGCCTCGTGCTTATCCCTCACGTGAACCTTGATAATAATAATTTTTTTTATTAATCTCCTGAAGTAGTCCATAGTCGAAGTGGAGAGGGATGATCAACCAGAAAAACTGTTAATCAATGTCCTCTAATCTAAAATGGGCTAATTAATGAGTCAATAAGAAATTTTTCGCTACCATATTGTGAGAACTTAGTTCAGTAGTTGCTAGAAGGCTCGACAAAAAAATAAATTGTTTTTATGGATTCAGTAACTAGTTCTCATCGTACAAGGTCACTGGTGTAGATAATAAATAGAAGTGGGTCTAGTACTGTTCCTTGAGGAACGCCGCTATTCAACTACTGACTCATTCAAATAGAAACTATAACGTTTTTCGTTATTGTGAAATAGATGCATTGTATTTCATCTACTACTAGTTGATTTACAAAATGAAAAAAATTCAACGAGAAACACTCAAAGTCGTCTCCATAAGTTTAATAGCAATAGGGCAGTCAATGACAACCCCATTGTCAATGCAATATGAAATACAATACCATACCGAAAAAGCGTTATAATTTGAATGAGTCAGTAGTTGAATAGCGGTGTTCCTCAAGGAACAGTACTAGGCCCACTTCCATTTATTATCTACACAAGTGACCTTGTAAGATGAGAAGTAGTTCCTGAATCCATAAAAACAATTAGTTTTTTGTCGAACCTTCTAGCAACTACTGGACTAAGTTCTCACAATGAGGTAGCGACAAAATTCTTATTGAGTTGTTAATTAGCCCATTTCAGATTAGAGGAAATTGATTAACTGTCAATAGTGATTGGCATTCCCTGAGGATTAGTGCTGGGTCTACTTCGTTTCATTATCTACTCCAGGCACCTGCTTTAAGTGATATATTCATGATTCTGTCGCTTCATTGATCACGAAATTGTGTTGCCGAGCAACACCACGAGTCCGTCAGGACCAGTGGTATTGCTGTAAGGCAACACAATTGAGTTAACAATGAAAGACAGAATTATGAGAAGATATTCAGAACAGAGTGGTATTTTGCTACACTATTCACGTTCACGAAGCATATGTTTTTGCGATAAGCACATGTTGTATCTGGATTGTGATTGCGACCTCAAGTGGAAAACTTATCTCAATGGTTGTTGAGCATAAAAATAATCAGGAAGCATTTCAAACATCAAATCCTTCTATGAATTGAAATTTAGGAATGTACAGGTGAGGTTGAGTAGATTACCAGTATTATTTCCGAAAGCATATATAAGCAGATCAGAATTTAATTTCTCAAGTGGTTATTACTCATGTAACATTCTTGAAGAACATATTTTAGTGTCTATAAATCTTGTTTTTTTTGGCAGTGAATAGATTTGATCGAGAACAAACTTGTTTCAAATGTTGATAATAATATTAATGAAAATACCTTGAGATTGTAGCGGTTGACAAACTTCCTGCAGCAGTACGGACAGAAAACGTGGCCCTTGATGTCCAATTGGTAGGACAGATCTGAAAAAGTCCAACACAGTATGAAGACATTAGGGGTGTGAAATGCCATTACCTTCAGATTTGTTCACCATCACCAAAAAATGCATATTCTTTTTCAAATTTCACAACCAGTATGTTTTGTCAACCTGCGCAAGATTTTGATGCTTAATGCAGTCTATATTTTACACTTTTGATCAAAATGCCACTGAAGACTATTTTATAACACTGAACTTTTGAAAATAAAAACACGAATCCATCCTCAACATATTTTATTGTCTAACTTCAACTTCACACGTCACTTACAATTCAACTGAAGACTATCCCTTAATCACTAGAATTCCAATAACACAATTTAATATAAATCAGTAACAGTTATACAATAACAATATTAGTAATAATGCCATTACAAAAGGTACAAGTTTTGGTACAAGTTTTGATTGGTTAGGTATCAAAAAACTGGTGAACTGACAAAAGTGACTAGTAATGCATATAAAATCAAGAAGAAAATCATAAAAATTCAAATGATCTAGTAGTATAAAGGTTCCATAAATCTATGAAGTATAAAAAGATACTAATAGTAATGTCATACCACTTAATTTTTTTGAAACAAAAACATTTTTGCATTATAATATGTGGTTTTCTGTTCAAATTATTGTCTAATACATACATAACAAATTTGCTTTTCTTGTTTATCATGTACCATTATGAATTACAATTCAGGAAGTTCAAAATTTGCCACAGACCCATTAAACAAATCATAATAAAACTAAAAGTTTATGTGAAAATAGTATTTGGAACGAGTAAACATACTGAATAACTTCAACTTCTAATCCTTCCAAAGCAGCAGAAAAACAACGTGAACATTTTTCACGAGACCCCCCCCGACAAAAAACCCTTCAAATTTCGGACAGTGCTATACATTCACTTCGATTCTTTGTATGGTATCGTTAATAGTGGAAAAATGAAATTTGGCTATATGCTTCCTGAGACTCTCGGTATTTTTGTACAATTGGGAACAAATCATGCACTTGAAGGGCCCAGCGAACTCCCCATGAATATTTTTCTCGTGCGTCTTGAGATGGTCTCTTCTCGAAAATTTTTTCATACACTGCCCACACTGGTACGGGTTTTTGTTGATCTTGTCCGGCCTGCCTAAATCCAATAAAAAATGAGTTTTCGGTGGTGTTTACAACGTGACTGATAACAATGCTCTTTATTTCAACTGCATAATACGGATTCCCTTCCCGTGTGCCATCCAGAAGATAAAAAACACATTTTTCGGTCATCTTTATATTAAATCAAATTGATTTCAGATTCTGACAAGATGTGGCAGTATTTAATGCAGATTTGCTGCAAAAGATGGTTGGCGTCAAATAGTGAAATCCGTCATTCCCTGAAATGCCTAGTCATTTCATGTAATGTCGGCAAACAGCGTAACTTCCATTTTCAGCCGTTATTCTGTTTGCCAGAGGGTTGATGAAGGAAAATATCTTTTCTGCATATGCATTAGAGGGGAGACTATTTTTCCGCCTAAATGAACCTTCTTCCTAGAATAGTAGATTGTTTTATTAGGATCAAAAGTGACACTTTGTTTGACAAGCGAATTTTGCATTTGCGAGGCGGAGCGTTTAGCGAAGCCGAGCGAAAGCAAAATTTGCGAGTCGAACAAAGTCACTTTTGATCCGAATGAAACATGCTATTTTTTCTGCAACCGAAACAATTAACTCAAATAAATATGTGGGGTTACCACCAATGCCGTGCCATATGTATGCAATGCAACAAATATTGACAAATAATCCGTGTAGTGAGAACATTCTACCTGCATCAACAGCAGGTTCATTCAATTTTCAAGGATGTTCGAATCGTAGTTTCAATATAAATACAATCACAGAGTGACATATTTGTGTATGGACCAGGTGCTCTAATAGCAAATACCGCGCCAGTGCCAGCTATAGGAACAAGACGTGGAAAATGTTAGGTTAATGAGCATATCAACAATGATAATGGCGAGCATTTACCCTCCTCTATAATACAATGTTATTCGCTTAATAATCAAATGAAGCTAAACAATATCGTTGTTTGAGACAAAAAACTATTGCTTGCCGTGATTATTCAAAAACAAGTTATTCATCCCGAGAATAGCGAATGAAATACAGATCAAGCAAGTATTTGAATCTTGAAGGCTTCCCTGATCAAACAAAAATACTTAGCTGAGATGTTTATAATTCCAATACTAAACTATAATAAGGTGTATTTTTATCTCCAGCATGGGTATGAAATACCAAATCTGCTGAAATCGGAAACAAATCAGGTATGCGTCTCAACCCAATTTACCAACTGTCACAATGTTGTTTATTCTTGATGACGTCCAGTAGATCCTTTTTAGTTCCTAGGAGCTAAAGTTCAACTTTAGCTCCTAGGAACTAAAATTCAACTTTAGCTCCTAGGAACTAAATATGTTGCCTAGCAACATACCTATTTTTGTGTCAGTAATAGAAACGTCAATTCAAGAGCTAATTTTGGTATCAAAATGGACGACTTTTGTGTCGGTTGCAGAAAAAGTATATTTTTCAGAAAATTACTTGAGAGAACAGAAGAGACTACTGCTTCTAAACAACCTAATCTGACTCGGCCTAAATGAACCATCCTTTCGTGATTACAGGGAATGCTTGAAACTATTAGGCAAACGGTGTACGAAATTTAGATTTACGCTGTTTGCCGGCAATACGAGAAATGACTAGGCATTCCAGAGAATGACGGATTTCACTGTTTGACGACATATACATAACTAGAGTGTGCGAAACAATCCGGTCAAAGTGTGCCGTACAAATTGAAAAGCTACACTTGTAGTGTTTTTCCTGATCTTTCTGATTCTGATAAGTTTTCGAAAAAAATTTTTTTGACTTTTAAAAAGAAAACGAGTTTTCCAAGTCCGGCTCTGTATTTCTGTTAGGAATAGGCGGAATATATTTTTTGGCATACAGGGTGTCTGTAAAAGGTTGGGACATGGCTCGGCTGTGGACTCCTGGGATAAAAACAAGTTGATTTAGGCCAACTTACCTATATCCAAAATCGTCTCGTTGAGTTAGTACAAGGCGTTGAAGTTTTTTTGGAAAAAAAAATAATTTTGCTCATAAAAAGAGTAGGCTGAAATCGATTTTCATAATTTTTGGCATAGCATGTTTTGTGACTGTAAGTCACGTTTTGAGATGTTTTTGATCATCATCAGTGACCTGCAAGTGTTTCAAACAACCATGTTGCCGTACAAATTTGATGATAACTTTTCAGAGGTCGGACTGGAAACTTCCAGTTTTTTTTTTCAGAAAGGTATTCCCTTCAGAAATATTTTTTGTGTCTTGTTAATTTTGTTGTTGTTGTTGTTTGCAAATAAATAATTTCTGATCTAAGGCATCTTATGCATTTTTTAGTAAAATAATCTGTCTGAGACATGGCTTGACTGTAGACTCCTGGGATAAAAATAAGTTGATTTTAGCCAACTTACTCATATCCAAAATCGTTTCGTTGAGTTGGTACAAGGCGTTAAAGTGCTCACCTTAGGTACTGAATAGTTATCGCTAAATTTGTAACGCGAGAGTTCTTGTAATGCCCGCAAGGACCAGCAACATATCAGTTTGTTTACAATAAGAATACATTGTAGCCATGATCAATAAACAATCCGACTAATCAGATTAATTTTCAAAAATGCGCAGGATGCATCATATCAAAAATTATTTATTAGCTAATGAACCTCGAGACGAATATCTTTCTGGAAAAACAAAACTGGAAGTTTCCAGTCTGACCTCTGAAAAGTTATCACCAAATTTGTACGGCAACATAGTTGTTTGAAACACTTGCAGGTCACTGATGATGATCAAAAACATCTCAAAACGTGACTTACACAGTCACAGAACATGCAATGCCAAAAATTATGAAAATCGATCTCAGCCTACTCTTCTTATGAGCAAAATTATTTTTTCCAAAAAAACTTCAGCTCAACGAGACGATTTTGGATATAGGTAAGTTGGCCTAAATCAACTTGTTTTTATCCCAGGAGCCACAGCCGAGCCATGTCCGAACCTTTACAGACATCCTGTATATATCAACTCACCTCAACTTCCTCTATCCGCCATTAGGCTATGGCTGGACGCCATGACCCTGTATTTATTGTTAGGTAGGACTGATGTGCAATGTTGTAACATGAAAAATCAGAATTTCAGACGTCGGGTATCCAAGGTTTAAGCTTTACCTTCACTTACCCTCTTGCTGGACAATATAAAGGGCATTGGTTACCAGCCACGCTGCATAAACACTGGGTAAGCAATAGCTCTTACTTTGGGATCCGAGTTTCAGGCAATAAAATCGCAGTCACTGTTATAGGTTATATTTTCGCACAAGTCAGGATATGTTAGGAATCACAAATCTTCATGTCAAATCATTCCGTGAAATATAAATTAAGTTATTATCACAGGCAGTTATTGAATAAAGGGTATGTATTACATAATTAATAGTCTATAATCTACTGATATCACAAATCTATTGCACATACTATTATTATTTGATGATCAGAAATATACCTACCAAAGTAGCATACAAATATACAAATATTCCTGGCTTATTGTCTTATTAAATAAAGAGTTTTCTACGCTAAAATTTTAAATATATTCCATTTCATTGAATCAAAATATTCTGGGTTTTACTTTCAGATTTTGGCAATATAATTCGTTGATATCAGTACTTGAAAATATACTATAAAAAACTTTTGAATTTTAAAAAACAAAACGAATACAAGACATTACTTGATGAGAATATATTGTTATAAAAAATAGAATAATTGTAATTTGTAATGTTTGAGAACTACGCCTATTAGTTAAACATGCAGTTTGAATTATTAGAATAAATAGTGTGATTTTTCAATAATTCCATCTATTTTGCCCATTTCCTCATAGAGGTTGAATGAATCATGTTTTTTCAAGTTAAAACAATAGATACAGCAAAATAGAAGAAAAATCCAACTGGCCAGT